CTTTTGGTGTTGTAGAATGAATAATTCTTCTAACAGATAAACAATTATAATTAATCATAAAACAATTAACGCTAAGTACATTTTATTCGCTTGTTATTTTATAATAAAATACAATTAACTAAAAGCTTTTCTAACAATGTCTAGTATTTTGAAAGTCTTTGATACTTAAATATCATCTTCATAGTCATGTCTTATTTAATGCCTAGATAAAAATGGTTTAATACTGTAGCTTTTAAACAACTTGAAATTAAATGTACATCAATTAAATTCCCAAGAGTAAAATAGATTTGATTCTATTCATTTCATGATATGAACAAACTATATTCATAATCATTTTGATGACAAACTATAATTAAATAAGTTTTAGTATTTGATTATTATCAGATTAATGTCTATTAAATTTCATTATGAAATCTGTAATATCATTTATAGTTTTTGAGATAATCAGATTAGGTATCTAATTTTATATCTATACTGTATTATTTGATGAACAAACGTTATATAAATACTGAGAATTAAATGGAACAGTAAATGATCCTATTTAAGAATCTCATCAATTAACTATGATTTTAATAACGATATGTTATTGTGTATGACCATAATGAACTATTATTAAGCAGATTATATATACAATCATTATTGCTTATTCGCATACCCAAACCGTTCTCACTAAAACAATCCTATCTTCAAGAAAGTATCAAACAAATGAATATAATTTAATATTTTTCCTTTAGAAAAATCTAGAAATAACGTTTTATTTCAAGATTAACTAGTTTTCGGCGTCGACTGACAATATATCAGTAGTAACGGTTTGTGAAGTTTTATAAAGTATAGTTTACATATTAAACGGATGAACGTAATATCCTATAAGTAGGCTATGTGACCGATTGTTTCAAGATAACAATTCTTCTTTTTTTACTACAATTTTCACTTTGTACTATCAAATGTTTAGAGAAAAATACTTTTTTTGCCTTATTGATATAAGTTTTATTAACTGATTGGAAGAATTTACGTACTTATTTCTATTTTCTATAGACATTTTGGTTGCTTTTTAGGTTTTCACTACGATAAGTTCCTCTTATGAAGCTCTCTCTCTCTCTCTCTCTCTCTCTCTATATATATATATATATATATATATATATATATGTTCATGCAGAAAGTTTTGAAGTGAGATTTTCATCGAATCGAAATAAGTGAGTGCTCATCAATGAACGCTATGCAGTGATACGAAGTGTGGTTAACTAATGGCTGTCCACAAGACCAAATTATTGTCTTTACCTCCAAATTTATTTGATATTAAAGACAAGAACAGTAGACGGAAATAAAGGTTTATTATAATAAGTAACATACCTATATGCAACTAATTAACGAAAAATGTTTATGAATAATTGTCAAAAATGACTGAACATTATCAATTCCTTAATAATATAAATATACACATATATATAAGAATTCACGCCATCTTACAGGTATGATCAAATTGATATAAATAGTAACATTAGATGTAGAGAACAAACATGTGATAGAAGAAAGTTTTAAGTTTATTAATTCAGTCATTGTTTAGGTAGTACATGTATTACAGTGATCCAATGAATCAGCCGGGAGTTTTTAATATTTCTTAAATGGACAGCCTGTTGATTTATGAACGGTGTAATTAAGGTCATTTCGTGTGCCAGATCGAATTAAAGATAATTATCTACAACTAGAGAAAGTAAAACAAAGACAGAGAGCATGGAACAACAAAGCAATAATTACCGAAATATGTCAATCAGGTCTACCGAAAGACATGTGTCATGTGACACAGTGATATACTGTTGATGTCAGATGTTACTCAAATTAGTTAAAGTTGCTAGGGACGGCGTTAACATAAAGTGACAGTAAGTAGGTGGTTTTACTTAGGGAATTCACTAATAATAATGGCTAACATTTAAAATTCCTATAATATCACTTGTGGAATGAGGTACACTTACAGATGCTAGGACATTCAATGCATTTCAGAGGAGCACTATACAACAATGCGGCGAACAAATAATGGGAGTGATTTTATCGTACGGATAGATTGTGGTAGATTGTTCCACAGGCTAGAAAATTACAGGTCACTCATTCTAGGAACAATTAGGTTTTAACTGTTAAGCTTGATTTTTATTCATCATGTTATAAAAAAAATTGATTGATTTAAGTTCAATTCTATATGAAGCTGAATAAATTGTCTTTGATGGCTCTAAATTTCAAAAAACCAACTACTATTTGCATTATATGTAAAGTTAGCTGGTGGTTGGCAGTGGAATCCAAGACGCAAGATTCGTCCTATTTAGAACTCCTAAGTCAATAACTCTAGGATCAAACGAAAAATTTATCTTGAGTTCCACTGAAATCCGCGTTTCATTTACTTTATTTTGACTTGTACATAGTGGTACTATCGAGTCAATCCACTCAGGATGCTCATATGACAAAAAAGAATGATCACTTTTAATCCTAAGCACAAATGGGATGATTCAAAAAATCAATACAATGGAACTATTATATTCCGCTTGATGTTTACTGGTCATTTGGTCTTAATTGGCCAATTGTAACAGTTCTCAACAATATAAACTAACTGAATGATAAAAAAAACCAAAATACGTGTTTAACTAGCTATTGAATGCGTTATGATTTGAAACAACAAAATCTAAATTTGGGTCAGTAAATGTTATTAAATTTCATGCATAAAATAGTTAAAATAGGTTGATGAAAGATCATCATAATTTATGACTGCACAACTTTCATAAATGAAAAGGAAATTACTAATGATAAATCATAAGGTTGATGAAGTACTTTATACATGAAATGACAAGTAACGATGTATAGATAATTATTCATGATCTTATGAGTTTTCATACTATTCATGATAAACATTTTAACTCATTCAATTGTTAATGTAGCTTAATTTAATTGTTTCAAAGTTGAAAAGTTGTTTGTTTCAATAATCTTGTAGTTCACATCAGTATTCATTTTAAACGTGTAACTTATATGATATCATTAAAATATTGATCCAAATATTAAAAATTATTTTCTGATCAGTCATCATATCTTATCACCATAGTGATTAGATCAACGATTTGGCTTTTGTAGGTTCATTTAACATTTATATTTTATAACAAATTAATCAGTGTATTGTATTGAATTTGAGAACTCCAAAATTTAATATTTCTTTCATCATTAATTCCTTTATCTCGTTCAAAGAATCATTTTCCATATAAGTTATTAAATAAACATGGTTTGATGAATTTCAGTTCATTAGTCTATATATACAAAATAACCTGATTGTGATTAAATGGTCAGTAAGAGGATTCGAAAGAATCAATTAGTGTTCATTGTAAAAAGAGAAATTTCAATCAGTAATGAAATTGAATCAATTATATTTACATAGATGTCATGCTAATTTAAAAGCAGTTAAGAAAAACCATTCATTCAAGCTTAAATTAGAAAGATTATTTTCGGTTAATCAGTTATGTTCAAAGGTCATTTATGTCTCTTGTACTTCAGAAATAGCTAAATAGAAACTACAGAACATGTACTTTAGCTAAACAACATCAGAAAAATTTATACTACTTACCTTTATATTTTGAAGCGTCTAATAAACCTTGCAACCAATAGCCATGTGATGATTTACGTAATGTATGAGAATCATTAGACTCATAATTCACTTTCATTGGTTTCAGATGAAGATACGTATATTAAAATTCATAACTATTTATTGATGGGGCAAGTCAAAAGAAACCAAAATGAAATTTGTCAAACTGTTCAAATTAGACCTCATTACTTATTTAGGCTTGTTATTCATTGACGAGTGTAGGTCAATGACTAATAAATATCCAACCTAATTACTTAGACAACATTTAATATATAAGAATGGATGTATCAATACTGAGCATTTAAACGTGAATTTAATATTGTTAAAGTTTTCACATTGTGCCTGTATCTCACCCTCCAAAAAATCAAGTACTTTGCTAACCTATCTACGTAATAATAAATTTATCCATCCAGATTTATTTTATACATCCATTAAAACTTTATTTATATAAATGATTAGTGAATATGGCAACAATCAGTTAAATTTATTACGTTCTATTTTTGGAATTCATTAATATGAGGAAATCTTAAAATCTAAAGAATAACAACTTTAATTATGAATAGCATTTTATGATTGAATTTTCTATTGATAAATAACAATATTAAATTTATAACAAAAAAAAGCAAAAAAACTTTTAACTTATCCCATACGAGGACGAAACAACCATCCAATGTTTTCAGATTTTCTATGATGCTCTAGCTTCAATTGACCAGTAAATTAATCTAAAAAAGATAGTTTAGTATATTCTTATCAATAAAGTGACATGTAAATAATGAACATTAATTCTTTAACACTATATCTTAGGTTTATCAATATTTTATCATATCTTGATAAATGAATTGTATCTACGATTATTATTTAATAAACTATTTACCTTATCAATTCTCTATAACCCATTTTATTTGCATTCTAATTCATGTTTTACAAACGTTATTCTTTCCTATAATTTTATCAAGTAGTTACTTAGGACATGTTATATTTCATTAAAGTCATATAAAACGGAAGAATAGAAACAAGAAAAAAAAGAAAAAAAAAGAAAAAAAAATAAACTAATGGTTATAACAAAAATACATTGTTATCTAAATTCATTTAAGAAGCTTTACTTTTGATTGGTTAAAATGATAACCAATCAAAAAATAGTAAAATCGTTTCTTTTTATTAAAACAATTCATTTTGATTGAATTCATTTAAACAATAGAGAAGTGATCTTTATCATGGTTTATTCTAATAAAATTATAAAAATAAAAAAATTTATTATACAATTTCTACAAATAATTTAACTAATTTCTATTTATGATTGTATTACATCATTTCATTATTATAATAAATGTATATTTATTCATTCTATATAAAAATGTATATACCAATGATCATCTTGTCTATTCAGGAGCTTGTAGTCAATATGATTCAAATTTTTGTTCAAGACAAGTAGAAAATAGTGTTTGTAATTATGAGAAAAATGAATGTTTTTGTCGGAAAGGATTTGTGGCAATTCGTGAAAATGGTCGAGTAACATGTAAAACATGTAAGTATACTTTTCATTTGTACACTAAAGGGTAAATGTTGTTTTTTTTCTTTAAATAAATTTTAGAATATTCAATATCTAAGAAATATTTGTTGAATTTTATTTAGGCGACTACATAGTTTTATAAATAACAAAATAAAATCTGTTAAGTCCCAATAGATATAATTACTAACTTACTTATTTAGGTCTGTGACCCCCAATCGAGCATAGGCCGCCGAGCAGCATTTTAAAACGTATTCTGTCCTGGATCTTCCTTTCTAGTTCTATCCAACTGTTGTTCATTCTTTTCATGTTTGTTTCCATTTTTCGACATAATGTGTTCTTTGTTCTTCCTCGTCCCTTTGGCCTTGAGGATTCCAATAGATATACATGTCTTTTTTAAATATTGTCAAATCGATAAAGAACCCTGTCACAATAAACTGATATTTCTTTACATAAAACGTATCGTACATCAAGAAAATAAAAGTAAATAAATAATAAAATGGTTGCTTTGTGATCACACAATACGCAACTGATTAATTTCGAAATCAGGCATCTTCCTACAATGTTAAATCACGGTCGATGGACTTCATTTCAAATTTACCTAGATATCAGTTATTTGTGTGTTCATAATCACCAAAAGTATCTTGAACGTTATTGATCACGTTTATTTGTATCGACTTGAATGTTTTTCTCCCTCGGATTAGTGCTAAAGAAAATACAATTATCAACATAGGAGGTATACACACATTATTCATACTGTCTGACGTTACTTAGTCAAACACTAGATGTACAGTGCGTTACATATATTTTCCATCTTGTCATGGCACACCTCAATTAGAACATCTTACCACCCCAATAAATAAGATTTTTCGATTTGTTAGGAAAAGTAACAATTTTCCAGTCACAGTAATTTGTGAAGTATTTAATATACTTCCTAACATATCTTACTTTTGATTTTATCATTAAATTATTTTGATTTCATTAAGGTTATTTACTAAACCCATCACCAATATAACAATACGGAAAAAAAATAGCACAATAAACTTAACATTATTAATATAAGTGCTAGGTTGATTATAAATAAAGAAACCTCTTTTCATTCAACTCTTTGGAATTTTCAATAATATGAAATGATGTAATTAATTACCAAAATATGCATGTACAGGAATAACAAGTAATAAATGTAACATTTACAAAGTTTGATGAAAGTTTCATTTGTTTTTCTAATTAGTCATTCTAAAGTGGTTATTTTTTTCAAAATGTGTCTTTATTTAAAATGTAAAGAGGTGAGGTAGGATGACTCCGCCTGTGGCACTTCTAGAGTTATTGCTGGTCCCAAGCCCGGGCAAAGGAGGAGGGTTGGACATGCGGTTAGCGAACCCATCCCGTAGATAAGTAACTCGCTAAAAAATAACGCTAATCAGAATGACAGCTAATTTGGTTTATTTCATTATTACATAATTAATTCATATTGATTCTTGATAGAATATTTGATTGATTCTTTATTCACATTATATTACAGGTACATCTAATTATTAGTTTCTCTATTTTAATCATTTTATAATTTTAACCAAGTATACATTATCTACTGATCATTTAGAAATTTACAAGTGATAACAAATATACTTTCACAGCAATACGAAATTCAGTTTTTGTACAAATAGTGTGTGCATCTTAAAATTCCTTATTGTTTATGATAATCATTTTGGAATCAGTTTTAGTACCATTTTATAACTTACCAGAAAGAATCTCACTGATTCATATTCGAATTTTAATTACGAAATTATATATTTTCTTTTATTTCATATGTGAATATGAGGGTTTTATTCACCTGACATAAATTCACTGAATAAAACGAAAATATTATTATCATCATCCTCAGTAGATTGTTGGGATCAAATTGAGATCACAAACCAATCAGTGTTAAAACACTAATGGAAAACTGAAAGTACTGTACGACTGTTTCGTTCAAGTATGAGACTCTTCAGTAGCACGCATCGATGACCCTACAGGCAGGACGCGGATACAGCGTCCTTTGTCTCGTTTGCAAATCCTTAACTTTTAGATCACTGAGCCAGCATTCGACGGTGTTAATGTCTAACCTATATACTTATATTTCAAAGTGAACCAGTTTTGTGTAATTTGTAATCTCTATTTGTATTTTGATTTATGTGACACCTGGAACAAAACTGATTTCTTGAATAATTAATCTCGAATTTATTGTTAAGATTTGTACATTCGTGAGAAGAATTAACTCAGAGAGTTGAACTTATCATTTAGAAGTCGATCAACAATATACACTGAAACTAGAAGTATGTGTCTGCCTGTTGCTTGGAACGATAAATTTGGACTTTATTAGTAAAATGAAACTTTGAAAGGTAATGACAGTAATGTTAAAGTCTGCTCGAAATGAAAAAGACAAACAAGGCTGTTGAGCTTATCAACATATGTGATGTGTAACCACGTACCGTATGATAGCAAGCAAATGTTTAAAAGCATAGGTATTGGAATAAAGAATATGTGAGCATTGAATTTGGAGTATATTATAATTACATACACCATTTCTCTATTTTCATACTGTAGAATTATTTCACTCTGAAAGTCCTTACAATCCTAGAAAACGTGTTGTTTTTGATAGGTTGATATTGATATACGATTATTATCAGGATTAACACAACTCTATGGATGTAAAAACTCTTGAAAGTTATGGTGCATTGTTTTGAAGTTGTTTTGTCCATAATATTCTCACAGAACATTTACCGTCTCATTGATGAAATTACTGTGAATTTATATCCATGAACTCTGTTAGTCATTTTTAATGCATTCTATCTGGTATAGAACACATTTAAATTCTCTTTAGTCTTGGATCCCGTTGACATCAAAAATACTGATAAACTAACTTGGGTGGCAGATCTTACTTTTGACTATTTTAAGTAAATCTGCATCATTAACAAAAAGAATAAGTATTATTTTCAGTCTCAAGTATCTGCTTTTCGAATTCATAATTGAAGTTTTAAAAATGGAGACATCATAAATCTGATTTTAATGGATATATTAATTTCTAATCCGTTTATTTTCTCAGTGCTAACCGATTTAAAATGTCGGGTAGATCGTGACTGTGTTCATGTGAATCGAAGCAGTTGTCATCCTGGTGCCGGTTACTGTTCATGTCCTGGAAATACTATATACGTTCCTGAAAAACATGCTTGCAGTAAGTATAATAAACGTAAATTAAAGTCTATGGAACTTTATAGTAGTATTTCATAGATAGTATTTTCTTTAGATGTCAAATCATTTATAGTGTTTCCAATAATATTTAAATTTGGCCAAGTAACCACTGCTATTTAACGTGACAGTTAAATGCTTGATTTCAAGAAGTAGTTGTGTGTGAAATTTGGCTCTCAATATTTATGAAATCTGAAATCATAAAAAAACCTTAGTGTTGAAAAGTTAATGAAATACCATGATTTGCGCCATATTACGTAATCCACTATTGTTAACATATTTATTTATAATTTCAAACCTGGTGAATAACATAGAGTTTAGAACATGTGTCATATTTTTCACTAAGAACTCCTGAAAAAAATGCATATACGATATTCTAAGTTTTTAAATAAGTTTATACTGTGAAACATTCATCTCTGAACTGATTAATAGGTATACGTTCAGTAGATGTGAAACTTGGAGGAAACATGAGTTGAACACAGTTGCTATGTATTAATCACACATGAATGGGGAGCCTAAGCTTAAAATGAAACATTCATGTTATAGTCTTTAATTTACTAAAGTTATTTAGCTAGTATCATTTTGTGCTGTAAATAGTACTTTGTGTTATCCAATTTAGAAATTCCTTTGATACTTCTTAAATATTTTTAAAAATATAGCTGAGTAACGTTTGTTTTTTGAGTTGATGGGCTCACTGAATCTATAGTACACTATTACGTCTAGTGAAATGACTTAACTACTGATGGTTCTTTTAAATATGTTCATACTAAATACGGTAAAACCTCATTTTAATATGCAAATGTTTCGATGAATAAGCCTTACAATGAACTAGTAAATTGCTGACCCCTAACAGAATCAGTAACTCAAAACACGACAGTTAATGATGATTGACCTATTCAATACTGATTTACTACTTAGCCATTTACATTTAGACACACAAGTGAAATGTTCTATTATAATCCCTAAAATTTAGTGTGGTACTAGCACTTCATTAAAAAATCTCTGATCTGAATCCTTTCAAGTCAGTTGCATTCCATTCTCAATACAATCTAAGACAAATTAAATAAATTATTTATTTAATTGCTAAAAGAGAGTTCATTATCTTTATTTTGAAAAAATAACGAAACTTTAAATGATAGATACAACATAATAATTTTGAACAATAAATCATACACCCATTGAAATATAACTATGAGGCAACAAATATTTGTTTCATTTCGCGATATGAATCTACAATTTTGAGAAAATAGTGTTTCTACTGCATCACATTCTACTAATGACTTCTAAAATATGACAAATGTTAAGAATACTGGTCAATTTAGTTGTTCACAACTTAAAGAGGAAATTCATACAAAAAACCAGATCACTTAAACCACTTCACACTAAGAATCAGCAGGTTAATTATGTTAGTGGAGCTCACGCAAATTGTTTTTTATTTTAGATTTTTGACCTAGTACTGCTCAACAACTTAAAAGGGCAATCTAAACAAAAATAATAAGAGACTAAAATGAGAATTATACTGTTATAATATATATATTTTTGCTACATTTATGATCGTCATCAAGTGACTGAGTTACATGAATCAGAAGACTATAATAAAATATCAACATTGCACGCCACAGTATAACTGATTTATAGGACAAGTACTTTCACTGTATGAATGAATATAATGTGCTAAGGATCAATCCAAATTTTGTTTGATTTAAACATCTCATAAAATGTAACTATAGTTTTCTTTCTTTTTTCAAATATAGGGTCACGTTTTACCTATCCCAGTGATCCATTTTGTGATGTATGCCTTCAGTTGAAAGGAACTTGTTTTAAATATGAATTATTTGAAAGAGTTGCAACAGAAGAAAGGTAAATAACATAAAACAATTTTATTCACAATAGTGTTTATGTTTTTCTTATATCGAGTATTTTTACAAAGAATATTAATTCTTGATTCTGAAAATGAAAGTATAAGCGAATCTTAATTGACCTTGAGAAATATTAGTCAATCAGCAAACAGTCAGTATAGAGTAAAAATATATTATACAAAACCAAAGAAATAAAGTGGATACACTTCGCATACATGGTTCAAAAATTTGTCAGGGTTAGAAAGAGGTTCAGAGGTTCTAAAATCGTATTGCATGCAGTAGAGTAAATCATCAATATGGCTACAGAATGTCGGCTCTTAGAGCCATGATAAAGTTGCAAAAACTTTTTCAGCCTCGACCATATAGTTTCAATGTTGTTTGTGTGCACTTCGTTTGTTAGTCCCAAAAATGCCATTTATGGATAACGATACGATGCACATAACCAAGTCTATTATCTTATATCTGATTGATTCGTCCACAAATTATAGTCCCGCCGTTTTACTTGTAATAGCCGCTTAATTATCACTTTTTGTACAAAATTCCCTATGAACCGGTCGTACGTTAGCACTAGGCACTGAAGTTGGCACCGTAACCTTGAAATCTCTAAAACACCTCTGACTGGCTCGTCCATAAATTAAAGTCTTGCCAAAGTATGTTATGTAACATAGTTATTTATACTCTCTTTTATGAATGTCATGATTATTATCATGTTCATGGTGATCCCATTAAAACAATAAAACTTCCTCTGTAGGTGTTTTAACATATGTTCTTTGTTTACACAAAAAAATGGCATAAGTGAATTGATTCTACTGTTAGCGAAGCTAGTTTATTTGAACAAATTTAAACAGTTATATTTTTCATAGCTCAATTATAGTTTTATATTTTCCTAGAAATGAAAATGTTATTTGAACATTATAGTCAAATTATTGATAATGTTGACTATATATCTTAACCTTGTGTCATACAAATATGGAAATCAATAAATCATATATATATATATATATATATATATATATATATATATATATATATAATATATATATATATATATATCCAAACTTAGGATATGTTTCATTATTAAGGGAATTATAGATATGAACTAGAAGTAAATTTTTATATTAACTTCCTTAGACAACTTATTCAATTTAACGTAGATAGACTACTTAAAATTAAAGTTCAAGTTTATTTTCATTATATTTATTAGAGTATCAATGAAGATGATTAGTCTACTTTGAATTTAATACTTCATCTACCTACAATCAAAGTTGACTAGTTTTCTTTGTTCTTTTTTTTCTTTAATAAATATTATTTTTCAATGGTTGAAATCATGAGTCCATTAAAGCTAGACCACCATGGAAAACATGGTTAAGCGCCCACGTGCAAGACTGATAAGTCCTTAGTTCGAATCTTGCGGGGAGTGAAATCGTGGATGTGCACCACTGTGGAATCCCATACTAGAATGAAGCGGCCGTTCAGTACTTCTAGGTTTTCCATAGTGGTCTGCCTCCTATCGACTCATGATTTCAACTATTTAAATCTCTAAATCTTCACATAACCCCTTCTGAAAATATTATTTTTCTTTAAAATATTGGTAATGACCTAATTTTAATTAATCTTAATCTTCATATATAATGTAAAGTGTTTATTCATTTTTTTTAATTTCTCATAGTGAAAACATAAAATAAGTAACACCTATGTAATAAGAATTCAATAAAATTAAGGAAGAATCTGATTAGTATATAGTTGACCTTTAAACAAAACAAAAAATATAATGAAAGTTCAATACTTAAGTAAAAAATTTATAATCGAAATGTTAGTTTATCTGAGTTGAGAAATAAGTTAAGAAGATATAATTATGATGATACATATAATCATGTTAAACTTGTTTTGTATTTTCCACTTAAAGAATAATGAAATTCATACTTGATTCATTAACCAAGATCAAAATTATAAAAAAAAAAACAACTTATGTATTCATTTTCACTAATCATATTTATACATATAGCAAGTGTGTTACTTTATCATAGATCATAGATCATTCATGCAGGATCGTGAATACTTACTGCTGAGGAGTTCAATACTTTTAGGTTTTGAATAATGATCTAGTTTAAATCAACTCATAAATTCAACTATTAAAATTACTACAATCTCCACAGATCTCAATTTTGATAATTATAAATATGATAAAAAAGATATTTACAGTGATTGATCATTGGGTAGTGATTAATATCATATGTGTTCGGTGTTTAGTATTGGTTGAATTCTATCGATCAAGTTACAATGCAGCCTTTAGTCTCAGTGACCCGAGATTAAATAGATTGTATAAGCTGTTGGAGGATATATAGTTCAGGATGAATATATGTCGATGACTTAAATTTTACCAATGAATTTCTAGATAAAATCAATATATTCCTTGAAAGGTAAACAATAAATAGTTTATTTTAAAAAAAAGATGGAATATGATTAATTGTTATTCATTATTATGCCCTTCTTAGATAAGTTGATTAATAAAACCGATAAAGAAAATCTTGAAACTTGAGTATGTTAGAAGCTGGAATAGACTAACTAGTTCATGAATCACAATATTAATAGCTTATTTGTTACAAAAAACAGTAAAACATCGAATTGAATATGAATACACAAATAATACTTAGTAAGACTATAAAGTGAAAAACGTTATATTGTGCTTGATATATGACAAGAGCTTGAGCGATACAAAATAAAAATTATCTACCATAATAAAATACTTTTAATTCAAGAACAAGCAAACTATTCAGTATTTCTTTTAGCTTCAAACTGTAGCAAATCTAGTCACAGTTAAGAAAAAAAAACAATACAGTTAGATCAATACAAAATGGATGCAAAATGTAGACGAAGGTGAGATTGTTTGAAAAAATTTTCTACTGAACACTTTTCACAAGGATTTTGATAATGTGAAGAATATAATACAGTTAAACGGTATAATTAGGAGTGATAGTATTTTACAGCACAGCATTTACATCAAAGTATACAATGTACCAGTTATCTGTTGGAGACGTTAGATCCCCAAAACTCACTTGTAAAAGGACCAAATTTGTAATTTTATTTAGAAAATTTGAATTTCTTTGTTTTCGTGCCAAAAGCGCTCTTGTCACCTTCATGTCGTATTTTCCACTGCGAAGTATCTTAAATGCTATTGGTCCGTTGCATCTTTTAGTATGCTATTTGGTAACTCTCTCCAAGGACGGTTTTGTACTGTATATATACGTTTTGAGTTGTGTTCGCTGTTATCACTCGTTTCTGGCTGTTTGCAAAATATAATTCCCATTCCAAGCTTGGACTTCTTCCTCTAATTAGCGTGGCTGGGACGCATCAAATAGCTAGCTTACTGGTCTCTGGTCACTGAATCTTTGTTCTTGTTCGCAGATTAAGTGAACTCGTGACAGCTTCAACCCCAGCATTATCATCCCTATAAACAAAGCGTTGTCTCCAATATGCGGAGTTAAAAGAACATAATGGTTCTAGGAAATTGACATAGCTACGATTTAATGATCGTTTTGGGACAACGAATATCTCAGAGGGGGTAGCAGTTAACAACAAAGATTTTCTCTGCTAGAAGACTAAGACTTCATTTTGTGAATGAATAATGTAGAGAAATACGGTTCTAATCTATTCACAAGGTACCCTGTTGTTCAGTGCAACTAAAAAGAGGTAAAATAAGATAGAATAAGTGAAACAACGGCAATCACTGTGATAGATTCATCGTCATATTGATGCTTGACTGTTTATTAATTTGCTAAGTTGGGTAGATTTTGTTGAAACTAACCAGCATATATCTAAGTGTAGCTATATCATTACAGATGAGTCGGAGAAATAGAAAGTTGAATAGTTGTTTACTATCAAAATATACACTGTGGACTTATTTCCATTTCCCCAAAAATTCCTACAGTTTAACGATTGCGACAAATAATACTCGTTTCTGAAAGTTCTCCAAAAATTTGTTCATTTTTTCTAACGACTTTTATCTTGCAAACACTGCAAAAAGCAAAAGAATTTCATTATAATATCATTTGATCGTTTTATTAGTCCTATGGATAATTTGACGAGACTGTAATTTATGGACGAACCGACCACGTTTAAGACAGCAAATCCTGGATTTCGCGTAAGATTTACTTACTCGTTTGGCACAATACCATTTTGTAATATAGCTGATATCAATTCTTGATGAAAACATTAAATTTTACTCCTTACCCTGACGTTCATCTGTAAAACGTCATCCAAAAAATGTGGTCTCACCGATAATTTTATCATATTTTCATTATTGAGAAAGCAGAAAGTAAAATGGTAATTTGTATGGAACATTTTCATATTTTTTCCGCATCTAATAGACGTGCATAAGCTTGTAAATCACTGTAATTAGAGAAATACTAATTTATCCCTTCAAAACTAAATGAATCAATTGTTTGGGCTGATCATGATAATGTTTATGAAAAACAACCAGAACTAACACCATCCATCAGTTATAGCTATAGCATAGGAATTTAGGATCGCTCGTGGTACGAAATAAAATAAAATCGTTAATGTTGAGATAACTAATAAGTGTTGATTTAAATCAGATAATTTCAATCTATGAAAATGCGAAGAGGTAGGCTGTATAAACATCAATCGAACTACATCACTATATAATCAAATTTTCATTAAGTCATTGTGTCAGGTGTTGACCAGAATAAAAGAATCGGGTAAACATATTACTTCTGGACACAAAGCACCAGCTTTTTGATACAAATAGTTTTTACTTCAGCCGTCTGAAGAATTCTTAGTTTGACGGATTTAGGCAGACTGCTATTAACATGATAAATTACTGTAAATGATTGCCTAATGTTGGTTGTATGACTCGTTTGTACTAAATAAACTAAAATTGAGCTGTTAACATTTCTAACTATACCTTCGCATAATAATATTTTATGATACACTGATATGTGATTCTAGAAATTATCACCATAAATGAATATGATAACTTTAATAGTAGAAAATTGCAGATGACTTCTGGATCTCCGAATCCCATATTGAAAATTTAACCCACGAAAAGCATTAAACCTCATCAAGATTTGTACTCCATAGTAATCATCATATATTTTATAACAATTGTATTATATATCAAGCAATAAGTAAAATAGTTATTAAGAATTATTTATCACAACCAATTAAAACTATGCAGGGGAAATTGTAGCAGTGGTCATTTATCTGTTAACAGACCAAATATAACACTACTTAATTACTTACTTACACCTGTTACTCCTAATGGAGCATAGGCCGCCGACCTGCATTCTCCAACCCACTTTGTCCTGGGCCTTCCTTTCTACTTCTATCCAATTTTGTTCATTTTTCTCATGAATGTCTCCATTTCTCGGCGTAGTGTGTTCTTTGGTCTTCCTCATTTCCTTCGGCCTTCAGGATTCCATGTGAAGGCTTGCAAATATAACATTATAGATTATTTGATATTCATAAATAACTATAACAATCCATTAATATCAAATATTCAATATAGAAATAACAATGTTACTTTCATGTAAATTTTAAATTAAGATATATGCATTTCATTCATAAAAATGGCAACAAAGAAACAATGTGTCCTGAATAATATTTTAACAAAATCTTTGTGTATATTTTCAGTGTACAATCTTTTCAAAAGGAATTACTAATAAAAAGAATTTAGATTTAATTTCTCTTTCAGTAATCATTAATTCTTATTAATAAAATTTCAAAGAAATTATTGTCAATGAGATAAAGAATCAACAACATATGAATGTTTCCTTTACTTGTTTAGTAAATCCAAACCGTGTTATTCAATTAAATAAGATATTTTGTTAATCAGTATTATTTAATGGTTAGTGACACGATTTCTATCATCATTTCATCATTCATCATAAGGAATATTTCATGATTAGAAAAAAACTACTGATCATTATTAATTTCGAACATGTTCCTACAAAAGGTCAGTTTTAGTACTGTACTAGAGATTGAACAAAATGCAACAAGACAAGTATAGTTTAATAGTTGAGATCATGAGTTAGTTGAAGTTAGACCACTATGGAAAGCCTGGAAGCACTGGATGACCGTTTCGTCCTATTGTGGGACTCCTCAGCAGTGCGTATCCACGATCCGTCCCCGCAGGATTCGAACCCAGAACCTATCAGTTTCGCGCGCGAGAGCTTAGCCACTGGACGTGGATGCAAACTGCTGAGGAGTCCCACAATAGAACGAAACGGTCATTCAGTGCTTACAGGTTTTCTATAGTGGTCTAGCTTCAATTAACTCATGATCTCAACTACTGAAATATAGTTTAGCTGGCATTCGCTTTCTAAATGTATTCCATGAGTTTTGGTCTATAATGTAAAATTGTTTTGTGAATCACTGTAGATAAGATAATCTCGAAATTATTTAATCAGTTCTAATGAATATTCTTTACTTATCTTATCAACACATTTTCGAAAACTTTCCCAATTATTTTCCAAAACTTTATCATTAAGATATTGTGATATTATTTGACAGTTCAAAATTGTTCATTGTATTATGCACCATAGGGTGAATCCAAATGGTGTTGGTTGTGTTTGTCCAGATCAGAAAGTGTCGATTAGTACAAGAACAAGTGATCCGTTAAAATATATGTGTGATGGGAATTTGGGTAAGTTCGCAGTATTTTTGTATAAATATCTCAAGTATGTAATTTGACCAAATAGTGATATATATGACCATGAATAATGGTCAAGTAACTGGCAATCTTTTTCTAACTTATTACTATGCTAATTCCTAAAGTGCTTGTTGTATTTATTTGCTTGAAATACATAAAACACACCCTAATCACCCTAGTTGACAAGGTAATATAACCGATTAACTGCTTTTCAAGGTACAGATGAAGATACTTACTTAATCACATATCTAAACAAAAGGTTTACTCATACAAGTCAAAATGATTAGAGATGGTTAGAAACAATATTGTTAGCTTAATAAAAATAGAACCTTCTAATATGATCTCATTTGTTAGATTTCATTAAAAGTTCTTATACACTACATTTTTATTCGTCTAGACTTCTGGAATACCTTGGATATTTTATTTTATCATGTAACGTTTTGATTAAATTTCCATGCAAACTATTAAAATGTTTACCATAGACTAAGAATAACAATGATAAAATAAATTGATTTTATGAATAAATCCACCTACAATTGAGTAGTTATTATTGAGCATTTATGGTCCTGCTTAAAGTTATTGCTATATTTAAGTTTTCAGAAACTAATATAATGTATCAAATAAAGTGTTATTATGTTTAAGGTATCAAGAAAGGTATGGATTATATAGTAAGGCAGTTTCTTCGTGAATCTTCTAGTGAGTATTCACTTACGACATCAAACAGTATCGATCTTAGACCTGTCAGATTACGTGGTAACTAATCAGTGATTCAAATTTTAATGTCATACATTTTTAGCCTAACTAGATTCTATGTTAAAAATAAGATTATATATTCCTTTACTAGATTTCTCATTACATATTTTCTTTTAATCAAGTTGATATTGGATCAGAATGTGATGATGAATCATTATTTTGTCGTTCAATAAATTCCATTTGCAAACCATTACAAGAAGAACTGTTACTATCTACTAACCAGTTGCATAGTATTAAAAGTAATCTGTGGTCAGAAAACTTTCCTAGTGGAGATCATTTACGCAGAAGTCAAATTATACGTACATGTCAGTGTAAACCAGGATATTTACCAGTATATCAAATTAATTTAAAGTATAATGAATGCTGTAAGTAAAAAAATCTGTTATTTGCTGATTATTAATATTATTGTTATTTCATAAAAGAAACTGATCACAAATGTTTTAACTAAATAATAAGTAGTATCTAGTCTTTGTACTTAAGAATCAATGACCAGTTATCTTCTACATAGTTAAAAGTAAGTATTAATTTTCAAATTGATTCAATCTGAAATTAAGATATATAATATAATTAAATTTTACTAAACTATGGTATCTTTCATAAGCAAATATGGATAGTGTCTAGTAATGAATTAAGGCCTTGTGAATTAAGGCAATATCGAGGCAATACGCACAGTATGCACATATGCTAAGAAGAGACTAATCATTTGCAGTCCTAAAAATCCATGTGAGGATTCAAGTAAACAATACAAGTAAATTTATAGTATCTTTTACGTTATTTAATCTATATAAACCAATAAAACAAATGACTCATTCCTTTATAAATGTTTTTGTGAAACTCATTATTACAGAATATAACTCACAATAATATTCATAGGAAATATACATTCTTGTACCATACATAGGTAGTAGTGTGAAAATAATTCATGATTAAGTTTTGTTCTCTGAGCTGAACAAAAACTCCATCAAAATCATCCACCTGAGCTACGAATCTTCTCCATCATCTCAAATTCATGATTAAACATAGAAAATTTCCCTTCAAAAAATATTTTGTCTCACATATTAGTAACTAGGTTAATCCATATTTTTACTATAAGACAGAGAATTTTAAAATCTATCATTAACATCAAAAATAGAGGATGGTTTCAAATATAATTTTATTTCATGAGCAAACATTTCGTCTGATAAAGAAAACACTGTCCGTAAGTACTATTGATATATTTATGATGTTTACTGTATATGACAGAAGATTGATTCCGAATCCATTTAAGATAACTAATGTTTGTTTTATGTGGTACTCATAGTATTGTTGCATGATTATCCACTTACATTTCCTATTATTATGTTCATATATCTATAACCAAAGTATATTATTGATTAGGTTAGATAAATAATTATTTTTGTCATGATTATATCTACTAGATGGAAAATTTACTGTATTAAGCTTAAAAAACTGACTTAGGTAAATTGTTATTCTGAACTAAAAATAACTATTATATATAACATTACTTTAGAAAATCCTTTGGTCTTTAATGTGAATAATGTCATGATATTTAAATGTTTATACGGATTATTTAATAATTTCAGCTTTTTTAACATTTCTCTTTCAAACTTGGCTATACTTAGAGATGTTTTTAGATCCTTCCATTCAGACGAAGTTAATTTGACTAGGGATATTATTAAAGATTGTGAAAGAAATGTAAATACATTATATACACCCCACTTAACAGAGATTACATCGTAATTCAGTTCTGCATAACAACAGTCAGATAATTTGAACTCCTACAATTAATAGTTTCATGAAGATTCTACTAATGTTCACACTTCTATAGAACACGTAACCACCATTTATAACAATTAGGATGGTTTTATGTAAAGTAAAAAACATATCAGAAAAGTTTTGTGCAGATTGTAGTAATTTAAACAGTTGAGATCATGAGTCAATTGAAGCTAGACCACCATGGAAAACCTGAAATCACTGGACGGCCGTTTGGTCCTGTTGTGGGACTCCTCAGCAGTGCACATCCACGATCCCACCTCGCAGGACTCGAACCCAGGACCTACCAGTCTCGCGCCAGGCACTTAACCAACTATACCATTGAGCCGGCATCCAACGTCGGATGTGTCGCTCAATTTCGTGAATTAGTTGAAGTTAGACATTGAAACCGTTGGATGCGGGCCGGCTCAATGGTCTAATGGTTAAGCTCTGGTGCGCGAGACTGATAGGTCCTGGGTTCAAACCCCGCGAGGTTGGGTCGTGGATGCGCACTGCCGAGGAGTCCAGCGATAGGACAAAACGGCCATCCAGCGCTTCCAGGTTTTCCATGGCGGTCTAGCTTCAATCGACTCATGATCTCAACTATTTAAATTTAAAAAAATATTTCAGTAATTTGTCTTAATTCCATCTAGTAGTTACATAACATGTATTTTAGTAATATCGTGCAGCTATATGACAGAATCTCTAAAATAATTCATATTTCACTCATTTTTTCATATTTTTAAAATTACACATATTGTTATTATCGTGTCTTAAGCTTTACTCTTTTGATTTATAGTTAAAATATTACCAATGAAAGCTAAACATTGTCAGAAATGTGTTGATACAGGTGGTCAATGTTATGATTTAAACGATGATGGAATAGGAGATGGTTGTGATTGTCCACCTAGTCTTTCATCTATCGTCTATGGAAAAGAAAACTCAGAAATATATTGTGGAACAGTTCATGGTATGTCAATAATCAATAGTGATAATCAGGAAATTTAATTTATGTAATGATTTTAGTATATCTCTGAAGTAAATGTAGCCTCATATTAAATTATATTGTTAGCTATTTAAATACTAATTAATAGAACAAACTACATACGAATAGATAAGCATATTTTACGAGATGATTATGTCATCATTAAATGTCATAAGATATATGTTAATAATACAACTAATTCATGTGAATATGTCTGACTGTACATATTTTCTTTACGTGAATATGAATGTAAAACACAAGAAACAAGGCAGAGAAATGTGAAACTATTCCGTATGTTTTAAATATTTAATTGCTAAAGTTTAATTTACTTCAATTAATGCAAATTAAGCTAGTCAGTTAGCTCGGTAAATAAATATCAATGAATTGTATCAGGCATTTCTAGTAAGTAAGTGAACATATTTTAATACATTCCAATTCGGTTGTGAATTCAGTATACAAGAAAGATGACTATACATAGGAATATATACAATATTAAAAGGTGTTAAAATCAACTGATCTAAGCCAACATTTCGTTTGTAATGTGAAAATTTTAAAGGTCATTTATTATGTTCAGAGAGGAGTTTTGTGAATCTCATAATAATTTAATAGTTTAACTCATGAGATAATTGAGGCTAGACCACCATGAATAACCTGGAAGCACTAAACGGCCGTTTTGTCTCAGCATGGGACTCCTCAGTAGTGCTCATCGACAATATTAGATCGATAACCGCACCAACAGAGTAATATTCTTCGCAGAAGAAATAGTTTTTGTAAATAAAGTTATCATCAGGATTTTAACTTGATTACTTAATCATATTACAGTGAAATGAAAAAAAATGTTGTCATATGGAGTTTTTAACCACTTTTCAATATAGGAATAATTATGAATTATATAATATTAAAAGGGAATGATATAAAAGAAAGTCACTTTACAAACATTCATTTAAATAAATACAAAACAATGTCAACCAGACACTTTACATTAGTTGCAATTATGATTATTTTAATTTTCATGTTCCAGTATCTGTCAACTGTACAAATGGATATTTATCTGTGTGCTATTATCCTCATACCTATGGACCGTACAGCAGCTTGTTTGATGATTTGATAAATCACCGTTCTGTAGCCAGATTAGCATCCGATAATTATATGATAGATACACTACCTCTACAAATATCTGGTTTGTCCAGTGAAGCCAACAGGACATATCATTATTCAAATTTTCAAAATCTTTGTACACTCAAATCAGAGAACGATACAACGGGTACTGAAAACACTTTCGTAACAGAATCAATATCATATGATAATTATCATTTACATGGGCACAAACAAAAAGATTCTGTTTGAATGTTGATGTTTGGCGAAAAAATGGACTATGTGGTATTAGACTGTACAAACTCAGTGTAAGTAATTTCTTCATTTTTTTAAAGGACTGTAAAATTCTGAGTATGAACCTAATAACTTTATAAATGTATGCTTTATTACTCTTAAAAGTAAATGAATTGTAGCATGCACTGCCTAATGAAGTATGTTTGGTGAGGTCATAAGAAGAATATATGAAATTTTATGAATGATGGAATTCAGTCATAAGCTGAGAATTTAGTTTTCTTCCGAACAAAACAATATTGAATCCATAAAAAGCAGTATATTGGTCTGAAACACTTCCTAGTATTTTGCTTTTGTTGGTAATAACAAATATTTATAAAATTCATATTCACAATGTAATATAATGTACTTACTTAAGCCGGTTACCCTAAGTGGAGAAGCATAAGTCGCTCACCAGTATTCTTCATCCAAATCTGTCTTGAGCAATCTTTTCCAGTTCTTTTCAGTTGCTGTTCATCCTTTTTATATCTGCTTTCCTCTTTTCTGGTTTCCTTCAGGACTCCGAGTAAGCGCTTGGCTCGTGATGTAGGTCGATGATCTTGTTAATGTATGTCCTATTCACTTCCAACATCTTTTCCCAATTTCCTCCTCAGATGAAAGTTGGTTTGTTCTATCCTACACTAGAGTGTTACAGATGGTTTCCGGCCAACAGATATTGAGTATTTTGCGCAGACAACTGTTCATGAATACCAATACGCTTATAATGATGATGGTTGTAGTAGTTCTCCAAGGTTCAGATCCGTACAGTAAAACTGTCCTGATGTTCGTATTAAAGATTGTGACACTGATATTGGTAGATAGCTGTTTTGAGTTCCATATGTCCTTTGATTGTAGCAGTGTCAAGTTTTACTGAGTATAATAACAATCAAATGAATCGTGTATATGGCATACATACTGGGAAAACTTTGTCGGCGTACGATGATAACAATGATAACAATTTAGAAACATAATATATAATAGATCAGGTGTTTTTAGGGTAGTGATAAGAAATTCATATGGATTGATAAAGATGTGACTTTAGTGTCTCCTAATAACTCGGCGCCCAAATATTGTGAAAATATTCGTTCAAATTTAGACGAAAGTCCTTATTTAAAGATATGTATGGATTGAGAAAGAAGGCAGATATAAACACAGCAGGAACTGAAAAGAGAGTAAGGGAATTATAATGTCTAGTTTATATGTACGAAGATACAATCGTTTACCAAGATTTTCGATCAAGGAAAAACATCATAAACGAAACTTGTATATACTAGTGTAAACTAACTTTTTATTTTGTAAGTGCATAATATTCACTACTCATGTAATTGGATGTAAAATCTTCATTCAAATGAGTACCACCGGAATTCGGTGACTAGCATTATACACATTAAAGGATTTTTAATATTCGACAATCTTCTTTTATTCTTGTCACTGTTCGCCTGTTCTCATTCTGGTCCACTCTATAGAATTCGTTATTTATACACAATTGACGTCAGGAGACTACTCTTTGTATTGCTTCAAAGTTACAGAGATAAAATACTATTTTATATATTCGTAATGAAGTGAAATAGTAAAATCCAAATACATAAAATCATCTGTAGCTCTAATTTGTGTGATACTGTAGAAGCAACATCAAATGTAATGAACAAGAACACAAGTGGGGACAATCAAATGTATTTCAACACAAAATCACAAAAACGTCTTAGTAAAATCTGAGAGCCATACAGTAAATACTTAGTTTGCAATATATCCATCAACTGTCTAAAACTTTATTGTTCTTTCATTTCTACACCAATCATTCTTTGTTCTCGTTCTTGATGGAGTTTTGTTCTCTGAGCTGGGTGGCTCGGTCGTGGAGCTTTCATCGTTCTTCTGACGACATCATCAGCACAAGCTTCAGAAGTGAAGTGTTCGAATTCCTCCATATGTGTTTCACAGCTTGTTCTGTACACCTCGATGTTGACTGGTTCTTATTGACCTTAAATTTGTCATTGTTTACTTCTTTGTTTTGGTCGTGTCTCCCATTGGTTTGACTTTTGTTCCTATATTTGTGCATGATTTTTCTAATTGGTTGGTAACTTGGATTGATTTCAATATGCTTGTTGATTGCTGGTTGACCTGAGTGCCAGGCTTCTAAAAATTCTCTGATGTTTTTGGAATTTCTTCTGTCTAAGATTTCCACATTTTCCCGATCGAATGAGTGTCCGTATTTGTCCACGTGTATTGATATAAGTGAGGAGATATGGCGTTTGACTGCTAATTGATGTTCGTGTAGGCGAAGGTGAAGGGGGCGTCCGCTTTGTCCGATGTAGTGTTTTTCGCAGTTCGCACAGTTTATTTTGTAGATAATGTTTGATTTGTCTTCCTTTGTTATTTCATTCTTTGGTTTGCATAGGATTGATTGTAGTGATTTTGTCGGTTCGTTCTTGTTTACTTCTTTGTTTAATCTTCTTAACCATTTGCCACTAGGTATTTCATTTTCAATTGATGATACATACTACTTATATCTGTCAATATCAATAGCATACACTATAATACTACCTTAAACTAGGCTATCATGCCTTAAGTGTCAAATATTTTTTGATACTTGTTTTAAATTGGTAAAAATAAAACAATCATCTTAGTTCTGTATAATAAATAACACAAGATCTTATTCAATCTTTATATACTATCTAATCTGAGTTACTTTTTTTTCTTCATCAAATCTCCTTTTTTGTTTTATTAATATAAACACAGTGATTGAAATATAATCATATATTTATTTAAGAAATAAACATTAAATCAGATATAATTAACGATTATATAAAGTGAAATTTTTATGACTTTAAAATAAAGGGTTTCATTTCATTGAATTACCACTATCACTTAAAATAGAATAAAAAAGGTATCAATGAACACTTTGATATAAAATCGTACACACACGCACACACAATTATGTATGTATATATATACCAACATACAAACAGACCATAAACCAACTACAATTACAGTAATAATTATAATTTATTTGTCAAATTTAAACATAATTATAAGAGTTTCTAGGTTGTTGTTGTTGTTGTTTTTCTTTCTTTCAACTTGAAGATATATAATGATAATTTATTTGACAGTATTTTTGTTTATAAGAAAAATATTTTATACTAAGTGTTGAATTTATTAACACATAAAATGTGGATTTGTCTATAGGATGGTTTATAGTTACTAGGATATTGGTTACTTCGTTAAAAATGAGCACATTTTCAGGTGTTCTATATATTTTCTAGATGAAAAATGGTCGATAGCATTCAATCTGCACTAAATAAGGACTTGACACATATGACATCGATCACCATACAGTGATCAATCAATTGTGATTACATCTCAGTCCTACAGGAGGTCGGTCGCTCAGTGGTAACGTCTCTGACTGTGAAGCTGGGTGACACGGGGTCGAATCCGTCAGGGAGCACCAGTTCCCTCAGGATTACAGGTATACCTTGCTGACGAGTGCCAGGTAGCACGAAACCCGGGTCCAGAGTTTCCTGTCGACTACCTCCGACCACCATCTAATCTCACATATTTCTATCTTAATCACTCGAAATTTGATTAAAATGTAAATCGGTTTATTTTTCTTACAACATTTATTAGGTAACCTCTAAACAATTAACTTGATTCTATATCAATGAATCTATGGGACTGAACATTCTGAAATGAAACCAAGTTAAATATAAAAACTTCAGACTAATCCAAACTGTAAGAAACTATAAACAGTTAGATTGTTTAATATGAAGTACTCAATAAACAATACTGCTGAGCATAGGTTATTTAAGTAACTTTGGAATAGATTTACTTTGTAAAAATTCACAGAGATTAACTTCTCTATAGTCTCTATATAAATAACGTATACTATAGAAATGTCAAACTAATTATAGTCTTTCAATTGTTTCTTGATAATCAAACAAAAGACTGTACATGACACGACTACAGAAAAGAACAAACCTGACAAATAGGCAATACATTCGTTTCAGAAAAATACTTACCGTTGTGATGATGAACTATTAGTATATTGTTTTATTTGTAATGCACAATACGTGAAAAGTGTGTTCATATTTAATAAAAAGCTATGAAACGCTGAAGTGAATTAATATAATTAAGAAGAGTTGATTAACTTACCTGATGTTCTAAATACTGTGTACAATACATGACATGGAGCTATTCAGATTGTTTGAAATTCTAAAGTTTTTTTCATAATTATTTATTTAAAGTAAATAATTCTTATATTAATGTTTTGACAGCATGATACCGTACAATATGAAGGAATTTTAGAAGTTCTTGTAAATACTTCAATACGTACTCCTAGCAGAGATAAAATTATTCCTATCAAATGCATCTCACGAATACCTAATAGGCCAATGAATAAAATTAGTGAGTAAGTGACTGAAAAATCTCTATGAAAATATTTTATCATTATTGATTTCTATGATATGAGCCATTAAATGTACATGACATGAATCCAATGAAAATTACAACAAAATTTTACAAGTTTCAAGCATTATCTGTGCATTTAGTGACAACTGATCTTTATCGGGTAAAGAGAAAAGACAGCTTGATTCGTAAAGTTATTTGTCAAAAGAACGATCTCATCTAATTTATCTCAAAGCTTTATTATTAATGTTTAATTGCTTTAATAATCAATGCCTTACATAATATTGATGTATTTGAATCAGTAATCGAAAATGAGCTCTGCTAAATTGAATCTCTATTAACATGATCAATTTTGTACAATTGATTGATTACATAGAAGTGGTAAATGTCATTCATATTAATTCTCTCTTATTATCAGTCGAATTCTATCGATCAAGTTGTAATGTGACCACTAGTATAAGTGACTCGAAATCGAGTTCACATGTAAGGTGGCAGTCAGAAGTAGTCGACAGGAAACCTTCGGCCTAGGTCTCATGCTATTTGGGATTGTGAAGCTACGTGGCACGAGATTGAATTCACCGGGGAGCATTAGTTTCCACAAGATCACAGGTACATCTTGCTGGCGAGTACCAATAAACATGCAAGCTAGTTCCAGGGTTTCCTGTTGACTACCTCCAGTCACCACTTTGCATAATACCATCATTACTTGGTTATGAAATGTTTCTTCTGTGGAGAATACCGATATAAACAACGCGATAAACAAAGAATTGCAAATTTTCACCCGATTTACCGTGTGCTGGTTCATCATAATTATTTTCGAGATATTACTGAAGTACTTAGATAACTGTGGTGACTTAATGGCAGCCTTTCAAATGATGGCTAATGACAAAATTCGTAGTTGTGTCAGAGGCGTCTTTATTTATCTTCAGTTTATGTTCATCAAGTGCTGAATAGTATAAATTCAAGTATTACACTGATATCAAATTTGATCTTTAAATGATTGGGGATTTCAAGATTTTCCAAGTTGCTTTAGAAAATATTTGTAATTCAAAAGTACTGTTCTTCGAGTTTTTCAATTCTCTCTACCTTGAAATCTGCCCTAGAAAATCACTAGCTTTTAAGCTATCATTTTCACTCCGTGGTTAAAAATAGAAGTCTGGTGGCTTGTTTAGGTAACTTTCAGTCATTATATCTCAGATTCGGTTTCACCTCCCTTACAATGGCATGAAATGTCGATTAAAAATATTAACCTTTACATAAAAAAACGTAATTCTAAACTAAGTTTATGATTCTGTCACTGACAAATTATTTGTATACAGTTACGAAACCAAGTTATCACTTATTAGAAGGAAATTCATCTAGAAGCGGTATGAAAACTATTTCACGCAGACTACAGATTGGTTACAAATACCACTATTTAACGATTAAAGGCTTATATCAACACACCAAGAGTTTTTCTGGCCTGATATTCTTGACTGTCATGAAAAAGTAAAAAACACAATAACTCTAATGATTGATTTTTTTAAAAGAAAATTAAGAGAACACGACCCAAATAGTTCGTCATTGTTTTTGATAATCAATGGAATTGATTCGAGTTTCAGGTAGTGCATCAATTCACTTCAGATTCCAGATACGATTTCTTGATTAACGACAATTAGCGCAAAATGAAGATTAAAGTATTCAAGATATCCTCAAATCAATATACATTATAATATGATTTACTAACAAAATAATCCTATTCGTTATTGGAATGTATACATTATCCATTATGAAATATATATATCAGCGCAAATACACAGATTTACATGATGTCTTTAAACAAAGTATTTAGTAATTTCTATCGAAGTCAGTATTATGAATTATTAACACTGTGTAGTTCATTAAAATACAGATAAACATTACCTATAAAGTATAGAAGTCCTTATGCTTTGTGTATTTGTATCATTTTGTAACTCAATGTTTTATCTCTTTTCAAATACACACATTTATCATTTAAATTTATCCTTAAATCCTTATTACTTAACAGTGATAGTGTTCATAACGAAAATTTTATTCACTTCACTTGTAATATTATATTATATTCAAAATAGACCTTTTACATTTAAGTTACTTTTATTTGAATTCCATACAGTGGGAATCCACAAACATTTGGTACTATGAATCTAGTAAACACACCAACTCATCCTCAAATAAGTTTGCGTTTATTGAATGAAAGAAATAAAGAAATTCTGTCAGCTTTTGTCGGTTCACATATACGCTTGGATGCCTTACTACGTAATCCCTCAGGCAAGTGTGATGAGACATATGTTTTCTCTTATATTTAATTACCTATAATTAAATCATTATTTAAAGTGTAGGTCAAACAGAATTGATGAATTAATCAGTCAGACTATATTTTAATAAACGAAAAATGTATATCCGTGTTTTATTGAAATTTTTATTTAGGAATATGAACTGAATAACTTTATATTTATTGAAATATTTTCAGTTATGTTGGTTGTTCAGCTAGTCTTCCTCACAGATCAATTATATATGGAAAAGCCTAGAAAACCACAGTTACTTAAACATCTATTTCATCCTAGTTTGGAGACTTTTAATAGGACATACTCATGACAACCAAAACTTCTTTCTATTCTTGACTACCATATCTCACTGTGAACACCATTGAGTTGTTAGTTGATACTTCATACATAAAACTCATGTTGATCTCTCACTTAATGAAACTACAATATAACACCAGCGGTGATACTTTGCCTCATTTACAAACCAACAAATAGTATTATTCTGACTGTTATATGCAGTTTTGAAATTCGCATTATTGTATTGATGTAATGAATCGCATTGATGTATTAAATCAGATCCATAGTTTTTTTTAAACATATTAAACTTTAAAATTCTGTTTTCATTTAAATGACGTACATTTGTTTAATCCGAACGATTAAAATCTAAATAATTATAACATTTCACCTAGCACACTTCTTTAAGCATATAGTTAACTAATAATAGTTTACTTTGCTTTTAAATGACAATGGATGATAAAACTTGCATTCAAGTGTTAGAGTATTTGTTAACGATTTAAATTTATCACTTTTTCAAGAAGGTTGATTATAACAAAAAGTTCGTAAAATTTTAATGGGGAAAATGTTGGACTATTGAGATGATTTAAATGTAATTCCTATATATTTATATTTAACGACTTTTAAATAATTGGCGCCTAATTTCTGTTCAATTATTCATTTAGATTTTGACAAATGTTCATGTAATGAATATTTCGATTTGATTTTTTGACTCAAATCATCTATGATTCCGTCGATAGATAGAAAAAGTCCAAATGAATAACAAAAAGTACATTAAATCATATGAATTTATTCTAATAGATATAAGAAATTTTCCTTGACATTTATTTCTTGAATATTCTACGAGCTTGTTTATATATTCTATGAAGTATGAATGATTATTATAGACTGCATTGTAGTTATACTTTGATTAAATTCATAACATTAATGGACTTACATTTTCAATTAGTCAAACAATGTATATCATTTCCTTTACAATTTATTTCAACTATAAAATAGGTCTGAAATATTTATTTCCCTTAACAACTCTCTCTCTCCATACTATTCTTTCAATAATTTAAACGTACGTAAACAATTTGACGTCTATTAGAACAAGATTAAATCAGCATTTCAAGTAGAATAAATTTCGTGTGATTATTAAAATTAGCATAAATAATAACAATATGAATATGATATTAATTTGCACATTGTTAACCATCTAGATTCGATCACTTAGTTGACAGTACATTCAACATTTGAAATGAAAAGTACTAAAGTCAAATACTTGTATAAAAATCTACATTAACATGTAGGTACATCTAGTTGAAGATTAAATTATTAGCTACAATCCATCTGTTCTATACAATAAATTAATTTCACTTATAAACAAATTCTAAGCAACATTATGATTGTAAACGACCATTTAAACAAAAAGATTTTGATGGAGTTTTTTTCTTTGAGCTGGATGGTTTGGTCATGGAGCTTTTATCGTTATTCTGAACGACATCATCAGCACAGAAATCAACAAAAGGATCACCCTACCATACATAAAAGGCATATCAGAAACTGCGACGAAACTGCTGAAAACCAACGGGATAGGTGTGGCACACAAACCGACAAAATCACTACAATCAATCCTATGCAAACCAAGAATGAAATAACAAAGAAAGACAAAACAAACATCATCTACAAAATAAATTGTATGTGATGATGTCGTTCAGAAGAACTATGAAAGCTCCACGACCAAACCATCCAGCTCAAAGAACGAAAGTTCATCAAAATCATTCACCTGAACTACAAATCTTCTCCACCATCTCAAAAAGATTTTCATTGGTTTTAAACAATAAAAGATTTTCATTTCATTCTAACCTTAAGTTACTATGCTTCAATAAGTAATAATAATTTAATAAGAGGGTTTAACAAAAGTGTCACAAACAATCTCTACTTAATATTGTTTTTGTTTTTTTTACATAATTAATACATTAACAGAAATAAAGTATGAATTACAGAATTGACAACATAATTTGACAAACAAAAATTATTTTTGTTTCTTTTTTAAGAAATATAATATCAAATTCTTTTTATTTTTCTTTATTTAATTATTATTCAAGGATCATATAAACATATTGCTGCTGAATATTGTTATGGTAACAATCGATCTCTACATTCTGATTATTTCTCAAGTGATATAGGCACTTTGCTTATTGATCACAGGTAATCATTTTATTTTAATTTCTTTTTAAGATTCATACTGTAAGATTATGATAAACAATAACTGTACTTGATTGTATGTAATAAATTGTATTTTATACTGATTTGTTATTGAAGGGTAATCAAAGCCGTATTCATTTAATCTTTAATGATCATTGAAATGTAAGGGATGAGAGGTTTAGGGTATTGTTTTAATATGAGATGGTTATAAGCAACAGAATATCAGTCATGATCAAGGTTTGATTTTAGCTGACAGTCCTGTAAAGTCTATCTAAAACACTGAGAAATTCAATACTCACTGAGATTGAGCCGTTATCCAATTAGGCTAATGGCAATGTTTTTGAATATAAAATTAGGTTCTGAGAACATAAGTAGGATGAAACCTAGATTTATACTGCCCAATGTCTTTCTCCCAACAATATCTATTCCATAGACTAAATTTAAATTTTGTGTGTGTAAATATTTATTCACTCACTTTTTAGACCTTGTCTCTTAGAGAAACGTCTGAATGATTGACAAGTTATTGTGAAGCAAAATTCATTTATTGGTTTGTACAAAATCTTGTTGGATTTGAAATGCTGTTGAAATCGTTCATGGAATGGTATATCGTTTTTTTAAATACGCCAGCTTATTTACAATAAAAGTATGTAATGGTAGCTTGAACCAATTAAGCTCTGAAGGTATCGCAACAATTAGAAAAGGAAGAATCTTTTCATACTTCTGATAATTTATTAGGACGTCTATTTTTCTACATAGATTAATCATTGGTTATCTTACATAAACAGCTTATTAAACCGACTAGTATATAAATGCTTCACTGTATATTGCTTAATAAGCCGAGTTAATGTTTCTAAACTATAGTGACTTAGGACAGAGAATAGCTAATTCAGAATATAAAGTTCCCCATAAAATCCGTAATTGTTAACATCCACTAAGCTAAAATAAATCAAACTAATACTATGTAACTATGATAACATATTCCTACATTGCTGATGCTCAAGTACTATGAATGCTAAATTAAATCCCTCCATTGAGAAAGTTCATTTACTTCACCGTGATCCAATTAACAGTAATCATTTAATATCTAACGCCATAAGTAGAGAGAAAAGTTGATAGTAACTCGTTCCCATTAATGGAATTCAATTGAGGTTAGCTGCTGATACATACTTTAAATGTAACGAAATACCAGAAATAATTAACAGGAAACCACTTCTGACCTTGACTTTGTGCTTACTGATGTCATTTATACCCACTTACACTAATGAGGTCATATGTGTACCCTAAATGACTTAAAGCAATATTCTTAGAATCTCATTTCATTTTTATTTATAGTTCGTTAAATAAATCTGCCATCAGGTCACATTTTAAATAGATGTTAGTTTTTTTTAATGTATATCAATCAATATTTTGTCTCTTCGCTCCTATAAAATGTCAATGATAAGTAATAATTAAAAGCGAGCTTAAAAAGTATAGTGTTCTATAAGTTATATTTAAAACTTAGCTTCATATTTGATACAGTATGATCTCAAATACTCAAAATACATTCGTTACTTTAATAATCGATTACTGCATGTATTATTCTATGCTCATTAGTAGAGCTGTTAAATCACAGTTATCTACAACATATTAAGAATATAAACCTAACTACTAATCATTGAATGGTATTTAAAAATGATTTATTTTCATTTATGATTGACCATATAATTCAATTCTATTAAGTTAAATTCTGTAAACGTTCAAGAACAAGCGTAGTGGAGAACGATAAAGTACAACAGATATTTCACAATAAAACCAAATAATTTACAATGTTTTACAATACTCATATTTCAGATGTTTACATAAGAAACCGTTATTAACTGCCAAATTTTCAAGTATTGGTTTATTGAATGGGCATTTGCAAACAGAATTATTTCAAGCTTTTCGCTTGGGTAATATGACTTTAGTATTTTTTACTTGTGTATTCAGAATATGTCAATTACCTACAGACTGTGAACAGGTATGTCTGATTTCGTTATTTTTCTTCACGTATGGAAGTGCATTTTTCAAGTTTATTATTATCATTTAGTTAATAAATTTATATGTTATGTGGTTTCAATTTTACAATGACGTTATCAAAACAAATGGTAAGACATGACACACAAACATACTACTACATATTACAACGTACCGATTATCATGCATAGTAGACTGACTTCACGCAATTTGTACCATAGTACTAACTGTTATTGAATAAAAATGCATTAAGTAGTTGGACATTTTTCATTAGATAATTAACTTTTGAATGATATTTATATAAAATGTTCGATACTTATTTAATATCAGAAGGGGTTTTGTTGAGATTGTAGTAATTTCAAGATTTGAGATCATGAGTCAGTTGAAGCTAGACCACCATGAAAAACCTGGAAGCATTGGACGACCGTTTCGTCCTATTTTGGGACACCCAAGTCCAGTGGCTAAGCGCGAGGCTGGGTCGTGGATGCGCACTGCTGAGGAGTCCTACAATAAGACGAAACGGCCTTCCAATGCTTCCGGGTCTTCCATGGTGGTCTAAATTATATAACACACTAAAATTGTTTTGATGAATTCTCTTAGGTAATTATTTCTTTTTTATAAAATACTATCTCTTTCATGGTTGGACACAACAGAATTATCATGATATTGCTGTCTTACAATTTAAAAGCAGTACTTTGTATGATATAAACCAAACTCATTAAAAAATATGTATACATTTTGTGAGATTGAAGGTTTATTAGGAAAATGAACTTAAGGCAAATTATTTCAGAGTGATTTATCTTACCTATAAAATTTTATACTACTGAAATATCACAAATAACAAATCAATAGGCTGTTCAGTATAGAACAGAATCACCATAGAACTTAAGCATTATATTATGCAGATACTTGTATCTTTGTTAGCTTATGTAGGATTTTGTTGGATGACACTTTGAGGCGGCCAAATTAAAGGTTCATAAAATTATCGACTACTGGTTTGAATATGTAAGTAATCTTTGACTACTTGGTTAGGGTTCTCATGTTAACTACAATCATAGGTTGGAGACACTGAGTGACATGACTGAGAATCAGTCACTAGAATAGATGTATTCACTGTTTATATTCCTTTAGATATTTTGTTTCAGTATTCCTTCAAACACACTTTTTCATTCCGAGTTTTCAGACTATATTCTCACCACTTAATCTTTCTCTCAGTTATTGCTAATACATTATTCCAGTTTCTTGTCATTTCTTTTTAAATTCATCTATTCATTCTTACGTTAACAGACTACAATCTGATCAAAAATTATATTAAATAGTCTGTTATTCTGCTAAGAACACATTTTGATTGAATCGTATATTTTCCCCAATAGTCTACCTTCTAACGATTTGAAAAAAACCTCAGTCTATTATCTCTATTAAACCCAAATTGTACAATAATATATATACCTGTAAGTTTTATTCTAATATATTTGTTATTGTAAAAGATTTCTTAGTTATGATGAATTACAAAAAGATCAGTTAGTTTGTTAGCTTCTAAACTTAATAACAAAATAATAAATAATACTGATGTTATATTTTTTTTTAAAAATTTATGGTCTAGTTAAACCTTTATATAAACAATCTATCCAAATTGTTACAAATGAAAAGGAACATTTTTTTTTTGAACAAAGATTACTTTTGTATATTGAAGAAATTAATGTTCTGGAAACATTTATTGTTTATTTGTTTATTTTTTTAAAATTTTTTTTTAAAAATCCGTTGGATACAAAAAAACAGTAACCTGGAAAACAAAATAACTCATCATTAAATTGAATTTATTTTATCATCGAATAAAATTCAATTGACGATTAATTTGAATTAAGAAAGAACAACAAAATGAATTATTGTTTTTTTTTTTAAATTTTCTTTCTTTTATTTTTCGACATTACCCTACCATAATCCTTTTTTTTATTTCAGACAATCATTTTGTTTGAATAAAATAAACAGTGAATTTTATTTTATTTTGTTTAGTAGCACAGAAAAATATAAGCAGTTTTTTGTATTCGTGTATAAACATTTCTATTATAAAATAAGAATATATTCTTAGAAATTAATGTTATTATATAGTCAATTGAAGCTAGATCACCATGGAAAACCTGGAAGCACTAGATGAACGTTTCGCTCTAGTATGGGACTCTTCAGCAGTGTGCATTCACGATCCCGCCCCCCCCCCGCGAGAGTAGAATGTAGGATCTATCAATCTCGCGCATGAGCGCTTAACCATTAGACCACCGAGCCGGCCGGCATCCAACGGTGTTAATGTCTAAATTCAACCAATCAATTGACTCACGATTTCAATTGTTGAAATTACTAAATTCTCCACAAAACCTCTTCTGATAATAACGTTATTATGATTATTGAATAGTGTAGTGGTTTATTGGAATATAAGTAGTGAAGTGAAATGAAGTAAATTGTAGTTGAATTTCTTAAAGTGAAAATAATAATAATATTGTTACTAATTATTTAACTCAACCGACCTAATAAAAGGTATCCCCCATCAAATCAAGTAAATATATGGTCAGGTGAATTTGTCCTGTCAAGCGGGATAATTGTCTTGGTATTTAAATGGTTTGCGGATAATACACTCTCTTCATATGAAGTAATAATGATACTAATTCTTACCTAGATCCAGAAACAGTGTTTAATAAACACTTATTATTCAGTACAATTTTCTATTTTGGTAAATTCTAGCATTCATTTCGGTGGACATTTGGGGTCGCATTGTAATTTTAATGAAATTGACCTTAGAATAAAAAACTCAGCTGATGATTAAAGTTTATGAACTGGGTTATGATTCATATTGTGTGGCGGCTAAAAACAATAATTTGTCTACTCAAAGTTCAAGTAATTTATATTGTGATCATATATATTAATTGATTAGAATGAGCTTAACCAAATATATTGTTCCAAGATGAACATATAGTTGATCACTTCAGTAGAAAACCATTGCAAAGGAATACTATAAAGTTGATTAGTTTAATGATTTAAAAATAAAGAATCATTAGACGGCAACAACACATAGGCTTTTTTTTCCGAAATGTAGTTTCACTTGAACAGTTACAAGTAAATCAAAGTACCCACTGTATTTTGTTTACATGAGATCTTAATCTATAACTCTTTAATCCATGGAACATTTTTAATCTCTTCTGAATTTCTATTCATTGGTATTTCTATGTCAGTATTTTTCTATCTTCTTAAATTGTAATGTATTCTACGTAAAAATGGTACAATGTCAATTCTAACGTACAGAAACCATACTAAATCGGAAAATAAAATCAATACATATCTTCTATGCTCAGTAGATATATTAAATAATGAATTTTTTATAGCTCAAAATGACTAATAGAATTTAGAATCTTCACCATTGAGTAATAACTCGAAAAATAAATTTTGTCACTACTATCCTGATAACTGAATTTTGTAGTTTCAATTTCATACAAAATGGACTTGCTGATCGCTTAGTCACAAACTTAAACGATTAACTGAGTAGCTGTCTTGTTCAAGTATCGGACTTTTTATCAGTGCACATTCACGACCCCATCAGAGGCGGGACCCAAGACCTTCAAATCTCGCGAGGAGCGCTTAGTCTTTAGAACGTTAAATAGACATTATTTAACTGAATTGAAGTTAAACAGATAAACAGCTAGAATACAGATCGGTCGTTCATGAGCTAAGCACTCGTTAAGAGGTCATGGATCGGACCTCTGTGTTGTTGTAGATGTGGACTATTGAGAAATATTACTCTAAAACGGGATAGATGTCAAGTGTGGTTGATTATTTAATGGTTTCCCAACTAAGATCAGTTCATGCTGCGAATTACGAAAACGAAATAATCTCTAAAAGCCAAAAAGCATTAGTAATGATAAATTTGTTTTTATCAAACATTAGTTTATTCACATGGTTTTCCAAATAAAATAGTCTAAAACATCTCTAAGTCAGTAATCACACATGTGATGTTTCAGTAGATCAAGCATAAAGACATTTTTATACCCTTCATCAAAATGTCATGGGTAGGAAGAAATTGTCACGAGAGGTTTTCGAAAATATTCTTGAAGGAAAAGGTGTGTTTGATTTTTATTCACTTACACACATTTATAATACTGGATAAAACCAATTGATCTGTAGTCATGCTATAGCAACTCGTTTAAAATTGATTTCGATCATGGTTAAATTTGGATAAGCCTTTTTATTGACTTACTTAACAGACAGTGTTATTCAAACAGTAATGATTCGCATTTTTCTTTGCACTATTATGATCACCATCTTGTCTGTATAAACGTGCACTCTTAATCAAATGTAACATCCTAAGCACATATTTCTCTCTAGCTAAATGTTAATATCTTAAATACCGTTCGATGAGTCATTCTCCTTCCCATGTATATATGTACTCGAATCCCATTATTAGCCTTTTTCTTGCCTCGTTGCGCCTTATTCGATTTGACCATACACATATTCGTCTATATGCTTCAAATTCGCTCGATGTGCTTATAACCTTGTCGTCTGCGCTAACCGTTAATAAACTGTAGTCGCCGCTTCTTACTGCCTTCTTATTTTAAACACCGTCGAGATTTATATAATAACGGTTATCAAGGTGATTAATTAACGAAGCTAAGCCACTACGATGCTATATATTATTAAAATGACTAAAAATTGAACGAATAAATTTACGATATAATTATATTTTATTCATCATATGTAACTATTAGAGTTCGAAAAAAATACAAACCTCAGTTTCCAAACGCTTTAAAAATCGAATGATATTATCTAAACTGTAATCGAAATAATAAAGATGTATTACTCAGCAAAGGTGGTTATCAAGGAAAGAACAAGGTTCATGCTTCATCGAAAACCTAAAAGACATGCAAACGACTGAGTCACATCCCACTGCGTTTACTAATTTAAATGTGTGTTTGGTCACACATACATAGGGAGGAGTAATAGTGATCTCAAAATTAGTGTATGTGAACATGTGAACATGTTGCAGAAACAAATAGACTTAATAAGAGTAGAGGATAAACATCCATCGTCCTCTATTGCCAAACACCTAGTTGAAACAGGTCATAAAATTGATCTGAACTCGGCTTTTGTGGTGATGTACAAAAATGTAAAAGAGCGTATATTTCAAGGTTTATTGAAGCCTTACCCATATGAAAATTCAAACCCCTTATGTCTATTCTCACCTTAAACCTACCCTGGTGATATTAGCATATTATCCAGAGTGATGAAGTTTGATCTCAACCAAAAACTTAACAATCTCCACAATCCCCATACTGATAGTTTCTTTATTATCCTTGTCTTCTCTTACCCTCCATTTCTAGTCTAGTTGATCTTTTATATTTATATATATGAATGTTCAGATTGTTCGAAATGTATTGCACTAATATATCACATAGTTCTGATTATCTTCATCTTATTACACTATCAAATAATGTTGCTATGACATCAAAATACCCCCAAAATTGTTTTTTTTTGCTTTCATATGATTCTAATTAACTTGAACTATCCTAAGGTTTGTCTAACAGTATTGGCTCTACAATAGAAATTTCGGTAAAAAAATTTATTCAAGAAAATCAACTTTCCTTAAATTAGTAATCATTATATGCAATTTCTCAGTTTAATAACAATAAACATTTATACTGAATTAATTAATGATAGTTTACCTAATGAATAGAAAATTGGAAAGAAATTACAATTAAATAATCCATCTACCGCCATCATTTATTACTAGAGCATTAGGTAATATACATGAAATAAATATGGTTTTAAAAATCCTAAAGAATATTAAATTTGTTATGGGAATAGGTAGATTTTATGTACAATGTCTGCTCAATAGACAAGGAGTTATACTATTTTTATTATTCCCTAAGTTATACCACTTTGCATAATATGTTGTCAAATTATGTAATTACGTAGATATAATGTTTTCTAAACGTCTAGCTTAGTAAAATTGTATTTATCCGTTTGTTTTCAGTAGAAAATGTTATCCATACGACAGAACAATGTATAGTAATAGTTTATTGTTTTCATTCAACTGAATGATTTGAACATGTTATCATAATTAATTTAACAATAAAATGTATGGACTTACAAGCAAAGATGGATAGTGTCTAACAGTGGAATCCAGGACACGCGTTTCATCCTATTTAAGACTCGTCAGCTGGATGTCATTGCATCTCAGTGAACACTAAGTTACATTAAGGTACATTCAGCTAACGAGTCTCGAATAGAGTCCGCACAAAATGCACATATGCCAATAAGAGACTGATGAATTGCAGTCCTTAGTAACAATGGGAAGATACAAATAAACATCAAGTGAATATCTAGACTTGTTAGAAACATTGGAAATAAAAATTAGATTATTATCCAAATAGTATAAATTGTGTTTTACTTTCATCAACTGAACGATTAACTAATCTCAGTCATTTAGAGAAAAACTTATGAATTTACCGAAGTGATAATCCTAATCTGATACTTATAATCTTCAAAACAATACGTATTTTTAAACTGATCAAATCTCTTATGACTGATAATTCTCTAATAGTATATTTGTCTAGTTTCTGTTCAACAAATACAAAATAAACATTTATAATCAGAGAAAGGTTTTGTAAAGAATGTAGTAATTTATTAAGTGAATTTATGAGTCATTAGAAGCTAGACCATCATAGAGAACCTGGAAGCACTGAATGGTTGCTTCATCCTAGTATAAGATTCCTCAGGATTGCGCATCCACGATCCAGCCTCACGAGATCCGACCATCTAGTGCTTCCAGGTTTCCCATGATGGTCCAGCTCCAAATGATCCATAAATTCAATTATTAAATCAACATTAATGTATAAATAGTTTTACTCTTAAAATATCAAATCTAAAACGTTTTCCATTGTTATTAAACTTTAATTAGGTTAAAAGAAATATATGAATTAATCATCTTTTTATTCATTAAATTCTTAATGTCATAGATCGTAATTATAGATCCAAATCATTTTTGGTAATGAATCATTAGGTTTATGGTAAATACAATATACATTTGCAATTAGTAATAAAGTTGAAATTATTCATTTATGGCTCGGTTGAAATACTTAGATTAAGATTAAAAATACATTTTAATAATGTAGATTAGAAACAATCATCATAATGTCATTTGTTATCAAATTAGAAATTAACTCAGAGATTACTAAATTCATGAAATGATCTGAGCTGGCTAAGTGGATGTTAAGTGGAATGAGTTATCAATAAATTGTCTAATTCTATAGGAATAATTTTACTGCTAATAACCGAATCAAATTAGTTTAAGTTATAAAAGTATAATGGTGAATAATTGATGAAATTTGTGACTTATGAAGTTTTAGGTTGGACAAAGAAAAACAAAAGGGTTAAGCATAAGATTTTAACTCATTGCCACATTGTTTTAATTTCTATAGTTATTGATTTCATCTAAAAATAAATGTATCAACAGAAGTGGGTGCTTGTAAACTAAGCTCTAACTGAGTAACATTCTGAACTTTAGATGGTGGTTGGAGGTAGTCAACAGGAAACCCTGGATCCGGGTTTCGTGCTACTTGGCACTGGTCAGCAAGGCGTACTTGTAATCTTGAGGGAACTGGTGCTTTCTGGCGGATTCGATCTCGTATCACCCAGCTTCACAGTCAGAGACATTACCACTGAGCTATCCGAGCCGTGACATTCTGAACTTTTACATACATTAAAAAAATTAAAACAGTTTTATATGAGTGGAGTTTATATAAATAGATTGAACTTATTATTGCCACATTTTGATATTTTAGACAAAGTGTAAAACAGATGATGGAATACAAAAAATTCATCCAACCGAAATAAATGAAAAAGACAATATCATACCATTTCTAAGTCAAATTATAAATAATAATTCAAAGAATAACTACTTACATCATATCTACAAAGGTGACGGTTACTTTTTCCATGTTCAAACATACGCTCATATTGAAGTAAATGAAAGACACCCTAAACGTGAGTTATTCATTTTTTAGAAATTGTTTTTCATAAATTCTTTTTTTTTATCACTAAGAAAATCAATTTGTGTATTAAAAAGAAATGAATCTTAAAGAAACTTTCACGATTCACTGATTGAAAATTAAATATTGACCTGATAATAAATTGACTAAATATAATACTGATAGGATCCTTAATATACCATTTAACTATTTCATATAAGGTTTTAGGGAAAAAAAATTCTTTCTTGAATTCATTAAATTGAAGTTATGTTATACTGAATATGATAACGTACATGCTAGAATATATATTAAAAAGGTAACATAATCAAATCTAAGAAGTCAATAATTATGGATTTCTTGTTACATCCAGTGCTCAGATCATCACATGATCACTCCTTTTTGTTACGGATGTTGAAGCTTTATGAATAAACGTAAACGAGATCTCTCTTTTTTTCTGGTTGATTGTCCTTAATTTCACTTCGCTTCCATGTGCTCCAAGGTCATGACTCTTACTAATTCGTTCTATTCCAAGCTATTTTGCTTGAATATTAAATTTTTCTTACATTGCTTATTCTTTCTGTATCATTGGCTAATTGTTGAGGCGCTTTGTACCATCTGTTGTTATTGAGTCTGCAATAGGATAACCCAATCGTTCTTTAATTTGCAAGCTTTGTAGGATAAACCAAATACACATTCATTTTTACAAGAATAAACGTCTATATAACGAGTTACTTAAAGGAGAATGGATATCAAGACTATATTTTCAAGTCTATAAACTCAAAATGGCACGGAGTAATTGTTTTTACCTTAATAACCTTAACTGAAAGATTTGTTTCTCATAAACATATACTCTCTGAACGTGGTCATAGTAGGATTTTTCAAATCTTTTCAATTAATTCACGAACTATGTTATGATTTATTTGAAGTGACTTTAAAATTTTTTTATTTCCCTGTTTGAATTCACAACTAGTAAAGTTCAACCTATTTGAAAGCGCGAAAATTATTCACGTATGTCATTTAATGAACTACTTGAATTTGTTAAAGTGAACAACTAGTTCCATAGACGATTGTTCAGAGATAACATAGTCGTTGCTAGATATAAAGATTCTAGGTTTGATCTCACGTAAGCTGTTATAAAATACCTTTATCTGTAGTGTATCTCCGACTGATATCAGTTTGTGAAGAAAATGGTTTTTCAAATTTCTCAATTTAATAGAAAATATCTACATCAATGTTAACATTGAACACCAAGTAGTTTGAAAATAAAAACAAAAACTTTCAAAAAAAGAAAAGATACAATCACACAAATTTCAGTTTACCAAATTATTAATAAATTATATCATTTTTCCTTTTGGAAGAAGGACAATAAAACACAAACACATCTCCAAATTATCTTAGAAAAACTGATGTAAAATGATGATGTTTGAAGGAAAGACAATAAACTACTTATATATCTTGGCAATATGAAATAATAACTTTAAGAATTTATCTCCATGTAATCACAACAGTTAACAGGAAACAATTCAACTTGTATGTATGAGCATTTGTGTTAAGATGTTGCTTAATGTTACATCAATCTTACTTAATAAAATATATTATCGGTTAAATATAATTTCATTTATTTTAATTATAAACTTATATAAATATTTGTTTATCTATGCATGATGATGTTTGTTGATAAAGATGATGTGGCCATGTACTCATTATCAATGATAGAATTTGTAAAACAATAAAAATTCGAGATGGTGGAAAAGATTTGTAGCTCAGGTGGATCTATCTGAAGTTTGTGCTGATAATGTCGTTCAGAAGAACAATGAAAACTCCATGACCAAACCATCCAGCTCAGAGAACAAAAACTCCATCACAATAAAAATTCACTCAATTTGCACCCAAAAACAGTTTTAATGGATTTTATTCAGACATTTTAATTGACATATTATTCTGACATCATTTATATTGAATTTACTTTGTACCATGTTTCATTTATGAATAAGACCTATCTAAATTATAATTTACGTGGTACATTAGTATATTAGTGGTCAATGTCAGTATATTCACATATCACAAACGTTTTCTAGAGTACGTTGAGTTAGGCATCTGTGAGTCAACTCAATTGCATTAATTGTTTGAATCCTCCTACTAACATTATTAACTGCAATTATTCTAACATTTTTGCCATATGCTCATTCTGTGTGAATCGCCTCGATATTGTCATTAAGTCATAAAGATTATGAGCGGAGTTGGATGTTGCCTGGTGGTGTTTGAAGCGAGCAATGTTGGGTTCAAATCCAGGAATCCATATCAAATTTTAGGTGGAGTTATATCCAGCTGACGTGTCACAAATAGGACAAAGCGTGTATCCTGGATTCCACTACTAGCCGGCATTCAACTCTAATTATTTATGTATCAGCGTTTCATGAGTTAGTATCTGAACTTTTCAGTGTGTACAAGAAAACAATAGTACTTTTGATATATCCTTACTAGACTTTAATGTGTGATAATACTCATATGGATAAATGAAAAATACTATACTAATCTAGGTAGTTTGTGGATCGATGATGGCAACCAAATAGACTTCATAAATAAACATATTTAGCAAAATGTGCCAGTCGAGTTTGACTTAGTAAGTGTTGAATTAATAAGACCGATAATGACTTTAAAAAGAAGAATATATTTGTAAAATCTCAGCGAATGAATTTTAAGTAAATCCAACGTTTCGCCTGGCAATCTGGTCCAAGCTTTTTCAAGGAAAATATAATCAAACAACAAAATTATCGAATATAAATAGGTACATGGTTCTACGGTTTACTGTACACTGAATAAGTCATCCAATCGACGTGAAGGATTTCTTTATAGATAGGTATTTGTATTAATGTGTAAGAGACATGTTTATATGAAAAATAATAAAGGTCAAACAAATAAAATAAAAGTTCATTTGAAAATAATGAAGGGGAGAGAAAGAATAAGAAATTGTCATGTTATCCTAGGCCATAGAATGACTTAAGGATTATAAGGTAAATTCAAGGTTATGACAAATTGTTTTTTATGTGTTCTATGGCCTAGGATAACATGACAATTTCTTATTCTTTCTCTCCCCTTCATTATTTTCAAATGAACTTTTATTTTATTTGTTTGACCTTTATTATTTTTCATATAAACATGTCTCTTACACATTAATACAAATACCTATCTATAAAGAAATCCTTCACGTCGATTGGATGACTTATTCAGTGTACAGTAAACCGTAGAACCATGTACCTATTTATATTCGATAATTTTGTTGTTTGATTATATTTTCCTTGAAAAAGCTTGGACCAGATTGCCAGGCGAAACGTTGGATTTACTTAAAATTCATTCGCTGAGATTTTACAAATATATTCTTCTTTTTAATGTCTCAAATTAACTCGGCGCCCAAATATTGTGAAACTATTCGTTCAAATTTAGATGATAATGACTTGTATCAATGTCTTAACGTAGAAAGTAGATCAAATCTGGAACACAGTAGAAAATATATAACCAGCATTAAAAGTTATCAAAATTGCTTAGTTGAGAGCTCAAATAATTGGATTGTTAAAAGCATATACGAATAAAGAAGAAAAAAAAACAAATGGACAAATGATTTAGAAAATATTAGTTATGAAAAACTTAAGCCTTATGCGGCCAGGGAAACGGCAGTGTAACATATTTCTCTTGAATACATAAACTAAGACAATTCACATCAGTTTACCTCTTCAGTATGTATCTACAAACTTAGCTGCTCCTGCGGCGACAACTATATTGAATCAACTACCAGTTAGCAACCAACGAATGAGTGAATATTATAAAACAAGATTAAATGCAGTACCAATCTGTTCAAGGAAGCTTTCAGATATTCTAGAGGATTTTTAAATATCTATTAAAGATAACATTGTTACACTTGACAAACAAGAAACCTCAGACCTACCTAAAATATCGGATGTTTACTTTACTAGTATTTTTAAAGCACGATAAAACTCGCCGTTTTTTGAAACGTTAAACATGTAGTAGTGGGGTTTATGCTACTTATGTCGACATAAGTAGTATGTAACACTAATCATAAGTGGAGTGCCTGGCAGCAAATGGTTGGGCAGATCTAAATAAAGAAGACTCGAACAGATTAATTGTTATGATAATGAAGGAACGATGAAGTTTGAGACAATTGGTGGAGGATTTTCAAATGAAGTATTGAACGTGTGGTTTTCACATTCGACAAAAGAACTCTGTAATTTTATATTAAAATATAATTGGTTGTTCCCACCTATGTTCTTGACCATTACAATAGGCTTGAAAGGTATGTTAATCAGGATCGTAAAGTTCCATAAGTAATCTAGTTTTGTTCTTCACAACTTAAGATGTTTCTATGGTCCACCTGAAAAGTCGACTCAATAACACTACTGATTGTTACTAATTACACTTCATTTTATCAAATATAAAATAATTTTTACAGTCATTACAAAACCCTAAGCTTTTACGATACCTGTATTTAGTATAAGTAAACAAATAGATGTAATTTACTTGGTATAATTTGAAACGAATGGCACCGGGTTCGAGTCCCAAAATGAACATCAACTCTGAGATGCAGGTACATCCAGCCAACGAGTTTGAATGAAACGCGCGTCCTCAATTCCACTGCTAGCCACTAACCATCTTTGCTTATAAAAATAGATGTAATGTCTAATGCTTAATTCTTGTCGATTTTCAGCCCAACATTTTTGTTTCTTTTTCTCTTAAATTTAACAATGAATTATAGTAACATATAGTACTAATAACAATGGATTAAATCCAAATTATTTAATATCAAATCATCAATTAGATATGAAAACCACTTCATCATTACAATCAACACGTGATCGATCATTATGTAATTATACTTTATGTTTAACAACAATTCATTTAAGCTGGATATTACTTGGATTATTTATACTACTTATTTTATTCTGTATCACTTTAATATTAATTTATCGTAAATATCGATTGTTTTTACAAAGAAGAACATTGAATCTTCTTGGAAAACATCAACAACAAAATCAATCTATAAAAAAATCATTATCAATTTTAGCAAAAAATGATTATAGTGAACATTCAAGTCCATCAAGAATATATAATAAAGAATATTATCAAACTAATTATTTATTAAATCCAGATTTACCATTTAATTCAACATTATTAACTACAGATAATTTAGATATGAAATCATCTTTTCAATTAAATCCATTAACACCTTCATCGATTATATCATCAAGTTCAATTCAATCTGTATTATCACTACCTCCATTATTAGCTACATGTACAATTGGATCATTAAATCATTTAAATGGGAAATTAAATATCTGTGAACCAACTTATTCTACAAATAATAATAATAATATGACATTAATTTTAAAAAATTCTGATACATCTAAACATGAAACAATCCATTGTGATAATTCAGATCTATTTTATCATACAGTATCTTCAACAATTTAGATCCTTCTAAAACATTACATTCTACAACAATGATACCGACATCAATTACACAAAATTGTTATTGTCAAAGTATGAATTATTCACATTATCCATTCTCATCATTTATACAACCTAATTATGTAAATAATAATGAATATATAAAGACAATATCATCAGATGATTGTTTTAGGAATTCATCATATATTTTAAATGAAGATTTATTACAAACACCTAATTGTGTCAAATTACATAATAAACAATGTTTAAATAATACAGATATGATTGATTTGTATCCTAGTACACATGATATAAGTAATAAGGAATTATTTTGTATACAAAATATTCAATCAAAATTACTTCATGATGAAAATGAAGAAGAGAAGGGTTTATGTACAACTTCAATATTACCAAATGTTACATGTTCTATACCAAGTATATCAACCGGTAAATATTTTTATTCATTTCATAAACCTAAAAAAATTAATAATTCTGTTGTATGTAATAGTAAATTATTGGATATAACAACATTGAAAGATCATTCAAAATTATATGATGGAAGTCTTAAAACTAAAAATTCTTCTGTAACACATTTAACATCTGATAAACATCATCATCAACATCAATATCATCATCATAATCATCACCATGAACTACAATGTTCAAGTTCTATGATTATTAGTAATAATAACAGTACAAATGTGCAAACAGCAAACGTCTGTGATTAACACTTGCTTTTTTCGTTAGTAAGTTACTTTGTACAGATAGTTACAAAATATAAATATATTTATAAACTGATGTGTATTTTGTACTGTTCTTTCAAAAGACGGTTATCAGACTAACAATTTATGAATACAGAGTCGATTCGTCAGAGACTTTCTACGATAAAATAACATCCCTTGTCTCTTATCCTAAATTATTGCTTTTCTAGTCAAACTTGTAATTTTGTCACCGACAATGGACTGCTGTCTTGAAGAAATACATAGTATATTTTTACTTGACTAGAATGACTATCTCTGTGAGAAACGGCTTTTAAGTCAGTCATTTATATGAAATATTACTTGAAATTTCTCATGATTTTTTCTAGACTATGTTTAGACCATCTGTGATAGAACTGCTTAATGAAGCTGAGGTTATACTTTTTGGTTATGAACTGGTGACAGTAGTTTTTGGTATCCAGAAGCTAAAACTGCTTAAACCTATATAATTAGATAACTCAAATTCTGTCTCATATATTGTAACTCGTTAACTGCCACAACGGTTGTTGAGGTTGTCCTCAAATATTACTACTGCTGTGATGTATAAATCAAACATCTATGTTTTGTTAGTTCATTTGACGCACACTAGAAATGGTTCTATCTATCTATCGACCACAAGTTCATTTCTTGGTTTGAAGATTAAATTACCAGACCAAATGATTTTATTGGTTAATACTGAAATCACTTCTAACATATCTAAGACCTCTCGCATTTATGATGTAAAAAAAACAGAAGTCATATGAATTTAGTCACCAAAATTGGGCTGGAATTGTGTTTTCTATATCTGAATCCACTTAGAGACATACTTAGTGTATTAAATGTGGTATGCCAATTACACTGTTGATTGTAGCTCTCTATATGTAATCCTAAATATGAATTATAAATAATGTCAACAAGCATACACTACTGAAATGTTTTGATAGCTTAGAATGAACATAAGCTGAAAATATATTCTTTGAGGTTATTGATAAAGAAATTGTATATTCAATTGTTGTAAGCATAACTGATCAAATCCGAATTTCAAGCTTCATAACTTAGGCTGTTAAATAGGCAGAAGTACGATACACAGCTAAACTCTGCCATCTATGGGTATTAAATATTACGAGACACGAATGATGTTCATGGGTGAAATTAACCACAAGATAATTATTTACCAAGCATTTTTATATACCCTAATAATTTTTTTCCAGAATTTAATATTAGTATTTTCTCGAGAAGTAAAATCGTTATCATTCAAATTGGGATTTACATAACCTTGAGAGTATAGTTGGTGTCAATCACTATATGATGCACTAGACATTTTCACAAACTTCAAAAAAAGTTCACTTGTAGCATCAAAATTAGTTCAAATAGCCCTCAATTCATGGAATGGGAATTTTAACAGCCGTATACGTTCTATTATCAGACTTAATTTACTAATCTTCAGGAGTAAATAATCACCAAAAGCAATATGATAATTGTCTTCAAAACTACATTTCGTGGCATGCTTGAGGATTCATGGTCGTAATCTTTGATTTTATGACCATTTGATCGAATAATCTTGTGGGAATTTGCTCGTTTGTTTTTATTCAAAGTAGAGGCTTTGATACAATTGATTAGTAGACTTTTTGAAATTTTAATGAGTTGACGAAATGAGTTTTTTTAGGAAAAACGATGGTTTTCATAACACCGTAGACGTCTTTTCGGGATAATAACTTAGAGTGACTCAATATTGTCTTCTATGACAGCTTTTTCTTCATAAATCAAATTTCAAAATCAAAGCAGATAATCTTCAAATATATGACCACCTGAGTTCTGAATTCTGTTCTCTTGTATGGGACCCCATTGAGATGACAAATACATTAAATAGACGTTTTGTGTGTATTCAACGAAATATGAATCTACTGTAGTAGCTTATAATGGACTAGCAAGTAAAGATTAGAAAATGAACCTATGTGCACCGAAATTTAATGTATTGAAATGTGTATAATAAATACAAGCTCTTACGAACCGTTTATCCCTTTATAAAGATATTACACTATGTTCCTCGAAGTTCATTGATTACTGATCGATATACCTTCCATATTGCTGAAAAACGTTCGATTAAGTGTATCAGAAATAATTAGTATTACTAACTGTTTTTGGAAGTTAAAACAAACTTGAGTAGCTGAGAGAGTAATTACGAATAATATGTGTGTTTTAGGATGTTTTGATTTGCTAACCAACATTCAAATACAAATTCCAGGTTCATTTAGATTCTTTTCATTAATATCTGGAAGTAATTTGGAAAAATAATATATCCAGGGAATGCATGACAGAATTTTCAGAAAAACCTCGTTTCTTTCATTAGCACAAGCTAAAAATATATTTATTGAATCCATAACTCAACTTCTTTTTATTTATCGATATCAGATTAAAGTGATTGCATTATATTTGATAGATGCTTGTTTGTAAACTGATAACTGGTTTCCAACACAAAAATGTAAAAATTTAATTTAATTGGTCCAAATGATGTGTACAGAATGGAATTGCTCCTTACTAGTAAGAGTGAAATTTTTCATTTAAAATTCATAAATGAATATATATTGATTTTCATAGACTGATTTAATATTGAACCCTAAAGAAAATTTGTTGTAGATTTTAGAGAGCGTAACTTTCCACTGAATAATCACTGATACGAATCTTTTCACCGACATAGGAAAAGTGTCACGTCTAGGAAAATCCAAAAGCTTAGTTACAGAATTAGTTTTTATGCAAGTTAGTGGTGTTTGTTGTGTTCGGGTTTCCGTTACCCAGAGAACTGAAACAGAACTAAATATCTTTAACTAATGTTTGCTATCTCCTTGAAAATAGCTTTATTGGGTCAATTAAATTAACATAGCAAATGTAGAACTCTACTAACAAAAACCTCACGTTAATAGGTACCCCCTGAAATTGTCGTTCTCGGTATATGCAGATTTGCAGAGATTGTAGAATTCTCGTTCTTTAAATCATAAACTAATCTTACGTAAGTCATCACCAATAACCTGAAAGCACTAGAAGTCCGTTTTACCTGTATATGGAACTCCTCAATAGTGCTCATCCACAAACTCGTATACGGACATTGAACCCAGGATTTTCGGTTTCACACATGAACATATAGCCTCTTGACCAATGAGCTGGTATCTAGCAGTGCTAATGTCTAACTCTAGTGATCCCGGTTTTATATATATACGAATACATAGTTCTTTTAAGAACATTCACTTGAAAAATACCTCAAATCCATTATCAGTTCTTCTCTGATCCAATAATGTGTAGAGTTATTCCAGCAGACAACTCCAAACTTAGTTAAGTAAAGATCGTTAATTCTGATGTGAATACCAGCGTATAATTAACTGAAAAAAAGTTATTGACAATAATTTATTGAAAAACAGATAATAAAACAAAATACAAAGTCTTTTGCGATGACCTAAATGAATCAAACCTGAACATTATGAATTTTATCCATTATGTATTATTGTAATTTTTATTTTAACTAAGGGGAGTTGTGGATGATATGGTATTTTTAACGGTTGAGTTCACGCTTGACCTAAGCTAAATCATCATCGAAAACCTGGAAGTACTGATTGGCGGTTCCATCCTAGTATGGGACTACTCAGCAGTGCGCGCTCACGATCCCGCGCACCGAACATGAACCCAGGACCATCGATCTTGCGCGTGAACAGTTGAACTCTAGATCACTGAGCCGGCATCTCATGGTGTTAATGTTTAAACTCAGTTGATCCATGGTTTCCTGCAACCCTTCATCCATTATCCGAAGTAGATGCCTACCTCTACCCGACACAGATTGGACTCCACTGGCCACTGCTTCTCACTAGACCTCCAGGAAATCTATCCTGAAGCTAGTCACTACTTCGCGCGCGGGAAGGGTTTTGAGCCCGAATCCTGCGCGCAGACTCGTGGATGAGCATTGTTGAGGAATCCTATACTATCATGAAACGGCTGTTCAGTTCTTCCTGGTTTTCAATGGTAGTCTAGCTTATATCGATTCGTGAATTCAACTGTCGAAATCTTTTAATTTTGTATGACAGTTCTACACAGAAATACGTGTTTGTACATATCATATTCCATGATATATATTGAATTCTAATTCAATGCAGATAGTTTTTTAACATGTGCTTTCCATAGAAATTCAGTTACCATTTGTATTTTATTATCGACAGTGCTATCAATTTACTGTATTATCATGAATTTGTCTTAAGAGTTCTCGAAATAGGTACACTGTTTGCTGAAACCTGTTTTAAATATATTATTTGATTTATTAATATACTATTTAGGAAACATGGAAATTGCATTATATCATTAATAATTAAAGTTTCTACACTTAAAATAAAACTCCATAGTGAAAATGTTTGTTTAAGACAACAGTGTAAACAACTTACCAAATTATACTTTATTTTTTTATGTTATGAGTTGACAAGCCAGACATCTTTTCATATCATTTTTCAAAATACATTTTTTACACAAATATCATTCATTGCATTTCTTGTCAAAGACTTAAATAGCTTGTAATTATCAGTAGACAAACATATATTTGTATTCATAAAATAGTACTTCTATTATTTTTCTATCTGAAAATACGGATAAACATCGGTTTCCGCAGTGATTGTCATTACTTCACTTTTTCTTAACAATTATTATATTATGAATTAGATGAAATGACGTCTTATTTTGTAATTTTGATTTAATAGAATGACACATGTTAAACACTCTGATAATTCATGACATATTACAACCAATGTCAATAACATTTCCAAGGTATACGTAACATATATAGCGAATATGTAATTGAAATGGGGCAAAAAATTGATGTTATTAAAGCTTTTAAAACGTTATGTAGAAATTGCCAAGAATAAATTCTCAGGTTTATTGCAGCCTTGGCTATTCGTAAATTTAAATCACGCTTATAAGTACAAAAACAATTTGTCGTAACCCTGAATTTGCCCTGATAA